GTTTTGCTAGGTGTACACATTTTGTGTACACCTTTTTGTGCACTTGTCTGTCCTTCGCAGACAAGTTGTCTGTCCTTCGCAGACAATTTGTCTGTCAAAGACAATTCAAAATGAGTTATCAAAAAAAGGTGTATACAGGCATGGCCTCGGTTCGGGCCGCCCGGCCCGGGACCGGCCCGACCCGCTACTGTGCGGGCCCGGCCCGGTTTTCCGGGTCCGGGTCCGGTTCGGGCCGGAGGCCCGGGGGTGGGGCGGTTCCGGGCTCGGTTCATGGGTTTGATGGCCCGGCCCGGCCGGTTCGGGCCCGGGTCCGGGCCAAATCTATTTTTTTTTTTTTAATTTTTTTCATTTTTTTTGGGCTGTTGGGCTTGGGCTATCTGTTTAGGCCGGTTTGGGGGGGGTTTGGGGGGTTTGGGGGTGGGGGGGTGGGGGGGTGGGGGGGGAGAAAGGAAAAAAAAAAATTAAACCGGGTGGCCTGAACCGGCCCAGAACCGGACCCGGGACCGCCCTACCCCCGGTTCGGGCTCGGGCCTGCTATTACTGAACCGAGGCCCGGCCGGGCCTAGGCCCGAGGCCCGAACCGGCCCGGTTCAGTCCACCACTAGGTGTATACATTTTGTGTCACCACCCATTTTTTATTTTCTTGTGCCTCCCCAGTCTTCTTTAATACTTACGCCGCATTGCATATTGATGCTAATCTTATCTTATATGGAGTATCACTAAATAAAACATATTGACGTGGGTTATTATTTTGTCGGAGAGTGTATCTTATCATTCATGTTAGCTTCCAAGATCTCTATCCATTTTTTAAAAAAAAATGGATAGAGATGCCAAAGGATTCAATCGAATACTGTTGGTCTTTTGTACGGAGTAGTTTTTTCCAGCAACCGTACGTATCCCACCATCATGTTTATACATAAAAGCAACCGTAGGGAAAACTCCGGAAAGATAAATAAAAACGTTTTGGAATCATAAAAGATGAGCACTCCTAAACAAGAATAATTAATAATTTATGTCAATTTTGTAAAATATTGTCATGCTAAAGTTTGGTTAATTTTGTAAAGGGTCATTATGTTAAAGTTTGATAACCTTTTAAAGTGGTAATCTCAAAAACGTAATTCTAATTGCAACTTTACTTTGAAATTCACATTTTATAACTATTTAAGAGGGTTTCTCTATATTTTTAATTTTGTTCACAAGTAACTAATTGCATTTCTTTATAAGCCTTCCAATTATAATAAAATTTTGACCTCCAGAGAGGCTTGAGCGAAAGATCTCATAAAATCGAATGGTATAATCACCTTGTTAAATTTCCTTGAAAACCCCCCACGATTTGATATATTTTGTATGAAATATTGAAGTCTCCTAAGGTTTACCTAATTCACGCTATCGTAACTTAGTTTTTTGGTAGTGTTTATCATACAACCGGCTGTACGATGTTAATCCTACCGTCAGTGACAATTTTGTAATTTTGATGAAAAACACGACTTCTCTTGAATGAGCATTAACACAATTTTGTTGAACATCAAACATGTTTTTTAGTATTAGTAACTTAAGAATGAGCACCAATGTAATCTGCTTCATATCTTCTAATTCACTTTATTTTTATTATTTTTTCGTTTATAAAAAGTTCTTAAATTATGTCTATAATCAACTCTAATTAATTTCAATATGTGAATCTAATGTAGGATGATACGTTTAAAATGTGCAACATTTTAAAATGAGCATACATAACTTGCAAAATGAGTATAAAAAAATTTAAAAGCTTATTTGTATGCTCATTCATTTTGGGTTTTATACTCATTTGAGATAAACATAAAACTCATTTTTAATATACTCAATGTTCATTCCTTTTAAACATATACTCACTTGAGTTTAATATAAACTTATTCCAGATTCGTCAACAAAGCAGTATGACTCCACTTAGCAATATATCGAACTCAAACTTAGTCTCCTGTCAATCTGTCGTCTCTGTACTTCTTCTCGCCGCACCGGTCAACAAAGAAGATCCTCAGGAGCCGCCACCCTTGCACAACAAGAGGGCGTTCGTGCTTGAGGAGAAGATAGTGACGGTGACGAGCAGTCTGCCTAGTGCGAAATTAGATCAAGCAAAATCGAAGAAGCATGTGCGAAGTCCGGTGCAAAGCTAGACCGGAGAAGTCTGGTGCGAAGCCAAGAAGCGCAGAAGCCTTAAAAAGCCCGGTTGTACCGTGTGCACGGTACAACCAGCTATATTATATCTTTTACGAGTTTTTCAGCCTATCAGTCTTATTAGTCGATTCTTTAACCAAACTTTTGCACAGAAAATGTTGGAGAAGATGTATGGTCCATTGATAATGACGCACATGTGGATGATGCGTGGTTATCAATGGAGTCCATCTATAACAAAGTAGCGAAAGAGATACTTGGAGAATCTAAAGGATGTCTGTCACCAAAAAAGGACACGTCTTGGTGGAATGATGAGGTAAAACAAGCAATAAGGATCAAAAGGGAATGCTATAAGAAATTGGGCAAAAGTCGGAGCGACGAGAACATAGAGGAGTACAAGGAGGCTAGAAGAAGAGCAAAGAAAGCTGTAAAGGAAGCAAGAGGAAAAGTGAACAAAGAATTGTATGCAAAATTGGACTCTAAGGAAGGAGAAAAAGATATTTACAGACTTGCTCGTCTTCGTGACCGTAGGACTCAAGATATCGGAAAAGTTAAGTGTGTGAAGGATGTCAATCAACGGGTACTAATGGAGGACAGGGAGATAAAAGAGAGGTGTAGGTCATACTTTGATACACTATTCAACGGGAACAAAGCGCAAGATATCAGTGATTTGACCATACCGAATTGTATGGTAAATCGTGATTTTGTGAGAAGGATCCAAACAACGGAAGTTAAAGAGGCTCTGAGGAAGATGGGGCGGAAGAAAGCAGTGGGTCAAGATGGCATACCGATCGAGGCTTGGAGAAATTTGGGAGAGAGAGGCGTCGAGTGGTTAACAAGTTTCTTAAACATGATTTGGAGAAACTACAAGATGCCAACGAGTTGGAGGAAGAGTACTCTTATCCCCTTATTCAAAAATAAAGGTGATGTGCAAGATTGTGCCAACTATCGAGGGATTAAGCTTATGAGTCATACCATGAAACTTTGGGAGCGAGTGATTGAGCAAAGACCTCGAAGAACTGTGAAGATTTCGGAGAATCAATTCGGTTTTATGCCTGGTCGCTCAACAACTCGGGCCATTCACCTTCTTCGGCAACTTATGGAGAAGCATAGAGACGCTCACAAGGATCTGCATTTGGTGTTCATTGACTTAGAAAAGGCTTATGATAGGGTACCTCGAGAAGTTCTGTGGTGGGCCTGAACTAGGAAAGACATATCACGCAAGTATATCAGCATCATCATGGATATGTATGAGGACGGTACTACAAGTGTCTATACTAGTGTAGGGAGGACTACGGAGTTCCCTATTACTATCGGAGTGCACCAAGGATCGGCTCAGAGCCCTTTTTTATTTGCCATAGTCATGGATGAACTTACGAAGTCAATTCAAGACGAAATACCGTGGTGCATGATGTTTGCCGATGATATTGTTTTGATTCATGAGACGCAATCAGGTCTTAAAACATAGTTGGAAGTATGGCGAGAAACATTGGAGAACTAGGGTTTCAGACTAAGTCGGAGCAAGACAGAGTACATGGAGTGCAAGTTTGGTGGAGGTAGGAGCAGTGGTAGTAGCAGAATTACTCTAGACGGTAAGGAGACACCGGTCAGCGATATGTTCAGTTACTTGAGCTCCATAATTCATAAGGACGGTGAGTTAAATGGAGATGTATCCCATAGAATTAGAACATGGTGGATGAAGTGGAAGAGTGCGTCAGGATTTCTATGCGATAGAGGTATGCCCACTAGACTGAAAGGTAAGTTTTATAGGAGAGCAATTAGGTCTGCATTACTGTATGGCGTAGAGTGTTGGTCGGTGAAACAATGTCACATTCAAAAGATGAGTGTGGCAGAGATGCGCATGCTGCGTTGGATGTGTGGGCATACTAGGAAGGATCACATGAGGAATGAGACAATCAGACAGAGGGTGGGAGTAGCACCTATTGAAGACAAGATGCGGGAGTTGCACCTACGATGGTTTGGTCATGTGCGTAGAATACCGATTGATGCACCTGTTAGACGAGTTGAGATGTGTGGAGAAGAGGCAAGGAAGAGAGGGAGAGGAAGGCCCAAACGGACGTGGGTTAGGGGAGTATGAAGTGATATGCTTCTTCTAGGGTTAGACGAGGGTATGACTTTGGAGAGAGCAAAGTGGAGTGCGGATATTCATGTGGAGGAGTGATCTCGTATTATCTTTTCCCCTCAATTTTTTGTTCCTTTTATCCTTATATATATAAACATTATTTTTATCCTGTTTATTTTATCTTTTTTTTTAGGTATATTCATCTCTTTTTTTATTATCTTTTTCATAATAGCTTATCCTTTTTATCTTTATTTTCTTTCTTTTCCCTTTGATGGTGATATCATGTATCGATTCATGTTAATCGACCACAATATCTGTTGGGACTAAGCCTTGGATGTTGTTGTTGTTGTTTAACCAAACACGTAACTTTTGATTTCACACGCTGAATCGTGCAATAAAAAAAATAAGGTTGAAGTTATTTTTCCGACTGTATTGATTGTACTTACTCTAGATAATCATTTTAACTATTCTTCATACTATAACTTTTTTTCCGTATTTTATTAATAAAATAGAGTATACAGTACTCCCTCTGTATTTTTATGTTTGCTACACTTTCCTTTTTGTGATGTGTTTAAAAGTTTGCTACACTTCCATTTTTGGTAAGTTTACTTTTAACAAAATACTCAATTACCCTTACTTTTTCTACTTTTTATCTTCTCTTTCATACTTGTATACTCTCTCCTACTTTTTATATACTATTCATTACCCCTATTACTTTACTCCTTAAATAATGTGCCAAATCTATCTAATGCAGTGAATATAAAAAAAGGGGGGAGTATAGACATATACTTTTTCTACTTGTCAAATTGATTTTTTCCCCATAAATTTCTTTTTGTAAAACACTCGCTTCAGACAGGGGATTCAACGGATTTCAGCGGATTATACAGTATTAATCTCTTTTGGACTATTCATTCCGCATTCTCTCTCAAAGCGAAGCCAAGGTAACCTTTTCTCTTGGTGCCTTTTATATTTCGCAAGGAAAATTAGTCATTCGAAGATTCTCTGGACGTTGTGATTCTCTAGTTTTGTTTGGCATTAAGATTTTCTCTTGCTTGCAATTTCTTAGGCACTTCCAAATCAAGACAATTGATTATTCGAGCTTTAACTTGGAATTGTTCGCTATAGCTGTGCTGGTAATTTTCTCCTTTACACTGTGTACTTTTGAAAATTTGAGGATTTTTTAATCCTATTTTTGGATACCTGTTTGATTTCATTTGCTGTGTAGATTTATATTGGTTATATAAAAAACTATAAAAGCACTGATTTAAAGGGATGTATGGTTAATCTAAACTTTGTGTTATTGTTAATTCCATAGCATTGCGCATTCCATTTCTTTGATGTCTGTTTTATTTCATTACCTCTCGAAATGTATATAGATTGTATGGTTTATTTTCCAGAAAATGAATACCAACCCACTAGTCTTGAAATTTATATTTTTTATGATTTTTTTTCATGTTAGCAATCTGATTACATCTCTAGTAGATTTCAATTGTAAACCAACCTCACACAAAGATGTTTTCTCCAAAAAAAATTTGAATACCAAAGAGTCTCTTACCATTTACTTGATTTGTGATTAAAATTTGAATGCCAGAAGAATTTGAACTAAAAAAGTTTGAATTTCCTAGAAACCCCAAATCATTATACAAAAGTTCCTTTTGCCTATGCAATTCTTATACTAAATTTGATGTAATAGATGATATCAAAATTTTCTAATGTGCAGCCAAATCAGTTTTCTACAAAATGTACATGTAATTGCAAATCTCAGTAAATCAATAGAACAAAATAAGTGATGCCAATAGCGCGCTCTAGTGGCGTAGCGTAGCAGAGCGTCACCATTCTGCTATAGGATTCACTATAGCGGGATGGTTGGCAATAGCGGGAGCAGCAGCAGGAAACTAGCTGCCATAGTGCTGCATCTCTGATCTCCGTTCTGCTCAGTTAGTTACGGCTGGGGTTTTAAGTTTGTTAATTTTGGGTTTAAGGTTATTTCTTTGGATAGGGAGGGGGTTAATTTAAGTTTTTTAAGTAAAAAAAACATGCATTTAAACCCTTTAAATCTGTTCCATCCTCTGAAACAATTATCTGTTTTAATGCCAAGCCTGCTCTTGTCTAGCAATATGCCTTCCAAGCCTTCGACCCTCCTCTCAGTCATCAATGACACGCATTTCCCACTTTGGGACCTCTGGCGACCCATCTCCCTCACTTTGCAAGCTCCGGAGATCCACATCAGATCATTTGCGATCTCCTCGTCTCATCTCAAGGAATCCGTGACCTCTAACAATCACAGCCAAAGCATTTTTATCATTTTATAGATTCGATATTTGTATAATCTGTATAAAGTATCTGGAATAGTGGTCATCTGCTATCCGCTGTATGGCCATAATGTTTTCAAGGGCTCAAGGCTGGCCACTATTTGGGATTAACTCAGTGGAACAAATCAAATACGAATCTTAAACTTTGAAATGGAATCTGTAGAGTGGTGTCCTAGATTCGTAATTTTTTACCACAGATCTATAATTTATTGATGATAAATACATCTAAAAATCCAGTTTCATATATTGATAAATGAAACAAGACTTAATTATTGTTAGACAGTGAAATATGGAGTAGAGAGTAAAATATACCTGAATATAGAAAGATGCTGAATTGTTGAAAAAATAGTGATAGACGATGGGAAGCGTTTATATGTGGAAAAACCACACGATGTTTCCGTGTTGTAGTAAATGGACTTTTCTGTTAACCTGTGTTTCTATTTTTTATTTCGTTAATCTTTGTTTTTATCAGTTATTCAAAATTTTAGGTGTATCTAACTGTCTATGTATTCAAATATTTGTAGTATAATTATTCATACACATATTTTAATTAAATTAAAAACATAAATATTATTTATTATCTTAATTTTTATTAGGAATAAATATTATTGCTTAGGAATTAATAAATTTTTTGCAGTGATATTTGAATTGCTGGTGTGAAAAACGCAATCATATTTACTTAAATTTATACTTTATAGAGTCTATTTAACAGTAATCGAATTCTTTATCAGAAATCAAATAAATTGTATGACCCTATTGGTATTGTAGTATCGGGATCAAATGAATCAAGATTTTTCTGGTCTTAGTTCTGTCATCTGTTGGATTTCTTTTGTAATTTTTGTTATGAGGGTCTAGAAACTACTCCGTTTAGAATTTCTTGGAGAAACCCTCAGTGTGAGGTTGGTTTTCATTTGAACTCTATTAGAAGTATTATCGGATAGCTAAATTGAAAAAATGGTATACATACTTATTTTTTATTATACTAGTTGGTTGCAAAGTTGTCATGGCGCATGACAATCACCATGGCGCAAAGGCATTTTTCATGGCGCATGGTGATGGCGCATATACGAATGACGCATATGGGGCTATGGCGACCCACTTTTTCATGGCGATGGCGCATATGGCGCGCCATATCTCGCCATTGACTTCTATGGTTGGTTGTTGTTCGTTTTCTGGAAAGTGATGGAAGTGCACATTTTTCCATATTTCAGCCAAACACTGGAAAATGAAATATGTTAAGAAAACGAGTCATTTACAAAAATCATTTTCAGGAAGTCATTGTCAGTGCTTCTAGACGAACCCAGACAGGTGGTTGTGCATCTTGTATCATATTCTTGAATAGGCTCAGACAGGAGTACAGTGGATGGTTAAATCTGACAATTTCCATCATGATATTTGCCTTTAAAAAAACTCCCATGTACCACACCAATACAGTCCAACAGAAGACTGGACTTTACATTAGTAATATGGAGACAAAAATTGATTTATTATGTTAGTTTGTTTATTTTTCACTTTATGTTTGAGATATAATAAGCTTGTGGGGGGCGGTGGCTAGAGTTTTAGGTTCCACAATATAACACTTAAATTGTATTTTTCAAATGAAATACTGCATCCATCCCAAAAAGAGAGTTAGGTCTCTAGAACTTTTTTTGTCCCAAAAAAAGTATTTCAAACTTGACTCCAGATCCAAAAGCCTAGCTGCATGTGTTTTAGTCAATTACTGATTTTTAGTATAAGTCACCATTCAAAACTTGTAAAAGTTCATACTTTGAGTGAACTGGCCAAATATGGTTAAGTTATACCTTACGTAAACATGACTATTCTTTTGAGATGGAAGGAGTAAAGTGGTACAAGTAGTTTATTTAGTAAACTACATAAACATATGGTTATCAATGTTGAAACAATAGTGCTAGTTGTGAAGTTGTAACTATTAATATATGGGTACCTATGGTTATCAACTATCAAGAGATAATATATTGTTATCAATGTAATATATGATTAATATATGGTTATCAGTGTTTATATCGTGTTATTCTTCTTTGTTTGTTTAATATATACTATCCTTTGTTAACTTATAGTTGATGCACTTTGATTTTCACGTTTACCCATGGGTCTTTTTGAACTTTAGGTTATGTACATATAATAGTAACAATTTTGAAACAGTCAATATTGTGAAAATATATATTTAGAGAAAATTAATACAGGGTAACATTTTATATTTGATTTTTTTACAGATTAGTAAAAAACACGCTTAAAGTAAAATATGTGAACAGTGCAAAAGTCAAACTGTTGTGATTAATATATAACACTGAAGTATATATTTATTTGCATGGTGCCTGGAGCATTTTTGCCATCGAATCCCATGGACTAGGGAGTTAAGCTTGCATTGTTAATCTTATTTGATGTCTATCATATGTATAGAATAAATGGATTGGCAAGGGCAAAAAATAGCAGAGCAACTGATGCAGATATTGCTGTTGTCATCTGCAATTGTGGCGTTTTTCACAGGCTATGTGTTGGGCTCATTCCAGATGATGGTTTTCATCTATGGAGGCGGTGTTGTGCTCACATCTCTCATTACCATTCCAAACTGGCCCGTGTTCAACCGTCACCATCTCAAGTGGCTGGATTCGATTGAAGCTGAAATGCATCCTAAACCCCCACAGGTTGCTGCTAATTCTTCTAAAAAGAAAACTTCCAAGAAGTGAAAATAGTAGCATCAATGCATTATTAGGAGAAAGATTAGGCCTGACTGACCTCTCTTTCAATGGAATTTGTTTGGATGGATAAAAAGTTAAACAAACTATTTTAAGTTTTGATCCGACTTCATGGTTATATCCTTATTTTCTCTTGCACAGAATTTCTATTTGTGTAAACAAGTTTTCTGTCCAAATCTTAGGGTATATAATTAATACTTCGTATGTAATCCGCATGGTTTAAGTGCAAGTATATAAGAACAGAGGCTACAATAACAAGCTTCTAAAGGGAACGTAACTAAAGATCCTGCTAAATAGTAAAATTAATGTAGCCACAAATGTATAATTAATGCATTAATTCTTAAATTTTGTACTCCTTACTGTGGAATTAAAAGTAACACTGCTTCTTATACATGCCTTTTTGTAAAAATAGTTTTTTTTTCCTGATGGTATTACTTCTAAGGATTGTGTTTTGGAAAACCTTAGTTTTTTCTTCTTATCTGATTGAATTTAAGCATCACCAGTCAGTTATACTGATCAACAAAAATTATCAAAAGTTGAATCTACATGGCAAAAGCTCAGTCAAAACTCGGTTTACTCTTATTTGTGTAGCACTAGTGGTTGCATTATAACAGCGTTACGTTCAAATATATGTACACTAAGTTACTAACTACATAAAAAAGATGTACCAGAATGTGTGGAGCTCAGCATATTCCAAAAGACAATACTAAAATATAAACTAATAAACACATAACGGAATAAGTCTAAAGTATTGCACATTATTTAAAGTTTGTAATGATAGAAAAATAATCACTTCATTTACAAAAATGTTATTGCATTTTTTGATTTATAATAGTACACATTTCTTTTTCAGATGATACATAATTTCAAATTTAATGCTCCGGATTCATTCTCAAAGAATTTCTCTAATTGGACCGTATTCTCATTTGATTCAAATTATGTGTACATATACATATATAAACACATAATATGTGAGCCTGTGTGACATAAATGTAAAAACGTGAATAAGTTTTATGAGTAGATGATTGCACCTTTATCACCAAGGATTTTGGTTTACTTGCAATTTAAAAAAAAAGAACATAACTAGTTTGGCCCGGAAGAACCAAAGAGGATAATTTCAAGTTTCACCCGAAATGCTCTGCATTAGGCATTACCCATTTGGCCTATGCATATGACATTATGCTCTTTTCAAGAGGTGACACATATTCCATATAGATATTGGTCAACACTCTGAAAGAGTTTGGGGATGTATCGGGTCTTAGGGTAAACCACGAAAAATCAAATATTTTCGTTGGTGGGGTGTGAGACCTTGAGCTTCAAAACATTTTGAGCATGGTTGATTATGGGCAAGGGACATTCCCAGTAAGGTACCTTGGAATTCCACTTGTCCCTCTTAAAGTTTCGGTCGCACAATATGCGCCCTTACTTGATATAGTCAATGATTTTTTTAAAGTTTGGAATACAAAAACACTATCATATGCCGGTAAAATTGAGCTAATTCGATCCGTGATCCAAGGGGTCCAATCGTTTTGGCTCCAAGTCTTTCCGGTTCCCCAAACCATTTTGGATAGGATAGTGTCCATTTGTAAGATTTTCTTGTGGGGTGGCAAATATGAGAAAGTAGCGTGAGATGACATTTGTCTTCCAAAAGAGGAAGGGGGTCTCGGCATTCACAATGCTAGAGCTTGGAACAATAGCCTCCTTTCTCGCACGCTATGGGATGTTCATAAAAAGAAGGATACCTTATGGGTCCGTTGGGTCAATGGCATATACCTTCAAGGTAAAGGTGAGTGGGAATTCATCCCACACGGCCGAGACTTGCAACTCATGAAAAGGTTGGGCCAAATTCGAGACAAGATATGAGGATGTTTTAACAACTTAAACGAAACCATAATGGGATTAAATGCTAGGAGAATTAATGGGAAATTGATTACGGGCAAGGTCTATGAACTCTTAAGAGTTAAAGAGATCCATAGGACTCCAATGAGCTTCATTTGGAAATCCTATATCCCTCCCAAATTCTCATTCAATGTTTGGTTGGCTTTGGGGAACTGGCTTCCCCATCCAGGATAGCCTCGGCTATCTCCACATGTAATAGATGTGACCTATGCAAGGGTGGATTGGAAACAATTTCACACTTATTTTCCCTTTGTCCATTTACATGCAGGGTATGGGACAAGGTGAGGGCATGGATTGGATTTGGACACGAGATGAATACGCTCCTTAGTGCAATCAAATGGATCCCAAAGGAGCAACGATGAAAGCCAAGGCTGCCCGACTTACATTTTGTGCTGCGGTTTACTACATTTGGGCTTTGGCATGCAAGGAATGAGACTAGATTTGATGAAGGCAAGAAAACGGAAGAGGAAGTTGTAGAGAAGATCAGGCATGTGGTGTACAAGATACTCTTTAGCATCTATCCACATGACTTGATCAACTTTTGAGTGGAGTCAAACACTTTTTGGATGCCAGGGCATAGACTACAGTTCAGATTAGTGTGCATGCACCCTGCAATACCATTCATATTTTTTGACTTTTGACTTATTGGCTGCGTATTTTTGCTCATAGGCCGAGTATTGACTTAGACTAGATTAAAAGCTTCTTCCAACCCTCTCATTTTCTCATGAAATAGGAGGGGGTGTGGGGGGTGGGGGGGGGGGGGCTTCAGGGAAAAAAGATAGTGTAAGAAAGAATGTGCAATGTTCACACCTATGGAAATATGAAATTGTTGTAGAGCTAGTGCGAACTGGGAAGGGGTGGGTGTGAGTGGGGTGGGGGGGGTCTTCACATCCTATATTCATCTCATGTGATCAATACAACTGTTTCTTTTTAATTGTTCTACTCCGCATTAACATTGGAAATCTTTAACAAGGAAAATAATCTCAACTTGTGTTACACACATCAAAAGAAATAGTAGGTTGCCCTTGGTAAGCAATGTCATCATTTGGAGCACATTAAATTACAAGCTGATCTATTTGACTATTTCATCTTGCAATCCTGATGGAGAAACGGGGCGACAGAAAATAATTTCCCGAACTGCTAATCTACTACTATTACTACACTGATACCAATGTAGACAACTTCAACTTTTCAACAAAAGGACATCATATATGTAAATCAAGGACATATGTAATCAGCTCTTCATCAAAGACAATAGATAATGCACTGATAATGCACATTCTATATCTAGGCACCCTACATTTGCATTTGATATTGCACTTTCATTAATGGACCTTGTCTTGAATTGAGTTGCAGGCAAGATCTGTAAATAGATACCTAAGCAAAGGGGCAACAACTCCCACGCTTAGACTATTCCCAAACAAGGCATACCTGGACATGAGCAAATCTCAATGCATAAGCATAAGAATCAAATCAAAATAAAAAAAGAAACATCAAAAGTATCATGCGTTTATCTGCCTTCATTACTGCGAAAAGGAAAAGAAAAACACACACCTCTGTCTGAGGCTTATGTGTTGGGGAAACGTGAAATCTGATGGAAAAGAGTGCAAGTTTGCAACCTTCACAATAACAAAAGAAATAAGACATGTCTTCAATTTAGGACATGGCAGCTGGAAACCAATCTGTTGTTTCAAGGCACATACCTCCCTCGGGGTGAAGTATCTGAGGCATAAATCCTTCAATGATGTCTTGGCAGTCGTGCTTTTTGTATTTCCCTGTGTCAGATAGATAATTTAATAAACAAACAATTGCCTCTGAGTATATTTGCATTACAGAAAAAATAATGATTCATATGATTAGTATTATTTTTAATCAAAATGAAAAATTGATAGACAAAAGAGAGAATTTCCTAAGTAGGAGTAAAAAAGTTTTGAAATTCCAAAATAGGACTATCATGTTTTTATTCCCTGAATAGGAGTAAATTTCTGCCAAGTTTGGCATTACTAGGCTTTAAACATGGCATTTTTTTCCAAACATGGCAGAATTACTCCTATTTAGGGATAAAAATATAAAAATCCTATTTTGGAATTTCAAAACGTTTTTAGTCCTATTTTGGGAAATTTCTATAGACAAAATGATACAACTTACTTCTTAAGTAGCATGCAGCTTATTCAATTATCATAATGCACTGTCAATGATCATAAATGTATTTTTCTATATGCATTCTAAAATTGTAAGTTTCTAAGTCAAAATACATCCTTGAGTAGGAGATCTTAATTTGTGAAGCGCAGGGGGAGAAGAATGCTGAATTGCTAAGAAGACCCAACCAAATAAAAAGCAAGTAGCGGTCAGGGTTTGGAGTTCACAATGGGTGTGTTATAGAAACTAGACAGGGAATCTAAGTAACATAACTAGGAATAATAAATTGTAATAAATCTAATAATGAAAAGAAAAAACAAGTTTCCATGAAGCTATAACCTTCCCCAGCATGAGACTCTCTAGCCCACAGGCAAAAGCTAAGTAAGATGCTCAATAGCTAAGCTATTACTACCTCCGTCCCACTATGTTTGGGACAATTCGGTTTACAATGCTTGACTGACGATAAAGCAAACAGATCACTGTCCGCACTCAAATTATTTTTAGGAAAAAAATTACATATTCAGAAACTACATTAAAATCTTTACAAAGTCGCAAAAACCAGAACCAAATTTGATAAAAATTTGATACATAAAGTAAGAGATTAAGAGTGATTTGTGTTGACCAAGTGAATAGTGTCTGGGACAATCTTAGCGGGACGGAGGGAGTATTATGGAGTATAATTTGAGACTTTCCTATAGATCTTCATGAAAAGTACTCTGTCCGTCCCGCAAAATAGTTCTTGGTTTCCTTTTTAGGCCGTCCCAAAAAATAGTTCTCATGGAAAAGTTTTGTGTGGTTCACATTCATTTACTTTTTTCTTACTCAACCACAACCATACATTTCCACTTTATTCCCACTTTCTTAAACTCCGATCCAAGTCAATGCGGGAACAATTTTATGGGACGGAGGGAGTAATTATTTAAAATCTTAATACAACAATTATATAGATAATGCACAATTGGGAAAAGTTAAAGCAGTCAAGCTTTGTCTGTCATGGCTTATTTAGATCCGCATAAATCATGTTGGTTGATTTTCTTCCTATTCTTGATGCTCAATACCCAGCATTTATTCTTTATTTTTGACTACCACATGAGATATGTGTTTTATTTCTTGGAACTGTAAGTTACCTAGAACAGCACTAGATCATCCACCACGTTAAAGAAGGCCCCTGTATATGTGAATTACACACATGTGTGTATATATGTAAACACATACATAGGTCTGTATATATACACTTAGAAAGTGCATCCTTTTAATGTTATCTGTTGTGCAAGCTATCAAGAAAAGTAATCCAAACTTCAGAAGTTCAACAAAGACTATATGTAGCCGAAACTCCCAAAGCCCAGGTAACGCTTTGCAAGACAACCAAGCCAATATGGGCTGTATTGAATTACAAGGGACATTCAAGATACCCAAGAACAACCCTAGATCAACCACCACACTAAAGCAGGCTCATGTATCTACATATTACACACATATGTCTGTATCCATATAAACACATATGTAATTCTTTATATATATATACACACTCATACAGCGCACCCTTTTATTGTAATCTATTAAGTGAGTTATCAAGAAACGTAATCCAAACTTCAGGAGTCCAACAAAATTCATTGATACATGAAACTCCTAAAACCCAAGCAACTCTCTGCGAGGCGACCAGGGCAATATGATAATCATATGGATTTAACATACTTGCAAGATAGATCTCATCATCAATTAGCTTAGTTGACAAAATTAATGATATTCATTAAAGCTACAAATTTAATGGCAGAATTTCAAGAAAAGGCAGCGGTTATGTTGCACCTGGTTTGTTGCTAGAAGGGAACCTGTTCCCTTAACATATCGATAATAGCTTTTCGTAAAACAGCAACATCGTTTTGAATGTGGGAAAACAATATCTGAAATTCAAAAAAAATAGGCTAAGCAAGTGATTAGAAAAATTAAATGTAACAAGATCATGAAAAAGGATACCCATTGCATTTCCCCATCTGTCCACCAAGTTTGATGGAACAAAGTACTGACTAGAAAAGTCGCTGCCATGATCAATATCTGCATCATCATTATTTTCCATTTCAGAATCATTAGTAGTTAATATACGGGACTTGGATTCACATTCTTTTTCAGAAATTTTCCACTCAAGAAAATTCTCTATGGGCTGACAGTGCTGAAGCACTTCATCCCAGTACTCCTGTGACTGATCATCTTTGACAATAGTATTTTCATCCTGCCAAACTAAAGCACCAGGGTTCCAGAGAAGCTGGTTGTCATGTTTAGCAATTCTGAAGGTTAAAGGTTTCCTTTTCGCCTGCAATGGAATGCTTTCATGGATAACTCATTTATAATTCTTTACCAAAGAAATATCATTATATCTTTATATTAAAATGAGCTTACAATTCCTATTAAATAGACTATACTATGCCTATGAGAACGAGGGAAATCGTGTAAGCTGTATCTTTCCATAACTACACAACTGTCACCAGGGATGGAGGTAGAGGGCGGAGGGCAACCGGATCCCAGCCAACCCCAAATTTGAAAATTGTTTGTATTTTTAGTGTGAAAATTTATGCGTAAAAATTTATCTGAAAAAAATCTTTGTACCGGCTCACCCCAAATGAATTCAAAACTCTAGCAAATAAAGGATGTTATGATATTTTGTGAAGCTGCCTTTTTTAATACAGATATCCTCATTACTAACTTAAAAGCAAACTGTTGTAACTCGCAAATGGCCCGGAGTAGGCTGCCAAAGGTCACAAGTGGTTTGAGGTATATTTTTCGTACAACATGTGGCCAACGATGGGTGACTAAAGAAAAAGATCATGGTGTGAGGTTGTAGCGACTTACAACTAGCAAGGAGGAGTTAAAAATAGAGAACAGAATTAGAGTTGGCCCGAATAAAAGAATAGTGGGGCTGATTTATTACTCCTTAAATATAAGCAAATAGCCAAATACCTGCAAAAGAAACAGAGATTCTATTTTGTGACGGCAAAGAAAAAAATATTAAAGCCTTAGAGGTCTAGATGCAGGCCCACGACACTAATTTACTCCATTTTATAGCACGCAACCTTGACTTCATCAGTTACTCTTTAGAGCTCCTGAACAGTTTTAGTTCAAGTATTGACGTTAAACTGGCTCGAATCATTTAAATAAATAGATCAACAAGGTTACTAAGGTAAAGAGTTCTGTTACCTACAACATCCACCCAATTTAATGTTTTCAAGCATCACGTTTTTCCGATTTTGTCCATCTCGACTAGCTGAAGCAGTGCCTTCAGAACCTCGACTATGAGTACAACATCAAGACAACTGTTTTAGGAGCTCTTAACCATTTTTTTTTCAACGCTTCAAACTAAGTTAGAGCACTGTTCGAATAAAATAAATGGAGGAAGTGTCTGACACTGTTCGAGTATTTATAATAGGGCTACTAGAGCTGTAATTGAAGTTAATTAAAAACAAAAGGAGAAGAAGAGGTTGGAGTTTCTCAACATTTTGAATATTGAAGGAAAGGCTGCTCGAAGTCTAGAGCTACTGGTCGAATAAAGCACTAGTTGATTAGTAGAAGAGAGTAGAGTTGAATGAAGATTGCGGGCAAGGAGAAGATATGAAGAAACATCTAGAGTCCAGATACAGCTCAGAATATAATTCTTTATTAAAATTTTATACTAAGTGACTATGAGCTTTTCTCCTCCATAGTTGGTAACTTCAATACTTTAATCGCATGTTCCAGTTTAGACACTTCTTTCATATGTACTAACTCACAACAAATACTTTTTAGAAAAAGAGAGAAAAGGGAAGGAAAATTACCAAGCAGTAATATCGTGGCCTGGAATATGGAAGACCAAACTGCAAAGGGCTCAAGATAAATTCCTGTGTGACAAACTGATTTTTCTCCAAGATTTCCATCATTTTATCATGTGTATCTGATTTCTGGAATGAAAACATGTGGCGGAAAAGACAAATTAGACAAAGACCTTGTTGCCGCAACATAGATATTAAAAGTCAGGACGTTACACAGCGAACAGTAATATACAGACCTCAAATCCTACTACATTCTCCACGAAAAGGAAAAGTGGAGACATTTCTACATCAGGTATAAGTTCCAGAATTTTAAGAAAAGAGGCTGCACGTGCATCCTTGGAACCTTTCTGGAGGCCTGGACATGGAATTTGAGGAAACATACCAGCCAACAGGACACTTTTCACTTCTCAGTCACCAGATGTAAACAGGAAACAGAGAAATACAAAATAGGAAATGCCTTTACTGACCTTGTCGAGTGTATGGTTGACAAGGAGGAGAAAGAAGCCATGCATCTGCCTGGTAGCCGTCAAGATCAGCAGCACTCAAAGTCTGAATGTTACCCTAGGAAAAAAAACAATTTTTTACACCCACTGAAATCATCACATTTTAAGCCCAAAGAATCTGTTGTGCACTACTTTCACAGTTGCTATACTGTTTCTAATTTTGTGAATTATATGAATTTCGATCGTCGACGAATTAGAATTACCTGACGGGGTCTGTGGCCGAAATTATGCTCGTAAACATCATTTGCGACGTCGTTGATGTCGAATGCTTCCACTACGACAGCATTCACGGCAGCTTCAACAAGTGAATATCTCATCCCGCCAATACCGCTGTAGAATTCAAGAGCTCTCCATGGGCGCTCTCCATTTCCTGAGCATTTCAAGCGTTCCCATTCCACAGTCATTTGTTCAACCGAGACGACCTTGAAGCTTCGCGGACGGCAATTCAGCTTGTGCCCTTTCCGTCGCCGAAGAGCATAGACACTTGCGCCGTGATGCCGTTTGTCAGAGAGAATCGTAACTTGCTGTAGTGTTTTCAATTGGACCGGTCTGACTTATTCTTTTGGTTCGGTTCTGTCGGTTTAAACATAACTAATCTAGTAAATGTATGAATCTCTAATGCTACAATGTCCACGGTGCACATGTGGCATGAGAGAGATATAAACAAAAAATTGAATTTATGACATTTCTTTCTCATTGTTTCCATGGTTTTATGTTGTTTTGGTAAGTTTTTCTCTGCAATGTCAAGCACAATGTCTACATCTAGACATTGTGAAGAAAAACTTACCAAAATGATACAAGATCCTTCAAATAAGGAGAGAGATATTCTATTTATTATTTTTTAAATGGCTATCTCTCATACCACGTATGCATCATTCACGTTTATCATTCACGTTTTAGCATTTCAGAAGCTTTTATAATTTACCATTGTTGCTAACATGTGCATATTAACCATTTTACTTTTTTTAAGTTTATAGCATTATTTGATGTTACAAAAAGGATGACACTCCATCTAAAAAACTTTTATCTTCGGAATTTTAGATACATATTCTTATTTTAAACTTGTTTTACTCATATTATGATAATTATGTAATGATAACTTAAAACCCTGATCGTCTTCCATATCCTCTTCTTCTCGATTATTATTTTTGCTCTTAAATGAAAAAATTATCTCTTTCACAATTATTTTCAAGTTATTTTATATGATCCGTTCCTAGCGAGGCTTAGAGTTTGTGTATCTCTCGTCGATAGAATCGATCAGGCGTTGACAATTTGTTGTTGACTTGTTGGTGGATGACAATGCTACTACTTGATTTTTTGGGAGGTTAACTTCAAACATCGACAATTCCGTGACCTCAATTATTCGTTATCCTCCTAAACCACCATCATGCACTGAGAGAAAGATAACGCTTTTGTTCAAATCGATGATACCAACAATTCCTTCATGGTAGTTGGTCAAATTGAGGATTCTAACTGTGCCTTTATGGTGGCTATGCAAATGAGAATTTCAATTATCTCCTTAACGATGGATGGTGAAATCAATTTATATGTTTGTTTTCTATCACATAGTAGTTTTAAGTCATTTTTCTAGTCCACATCTGTGCGGGGTTAGCGAAATGTTATGTTCTTCTGGAATTTTTCAATTTTACTTCTCATTTCATTGTATTTTCACGCTATTTGAATTGCTTTTATACTGATTTTTCTAGTCCACATCTGTGCGGGTTAGCGAAATGTTATGTTCTAGAAATTTTCAATTTTACTTCTCATTTCATTGTATTCTCACGCTATTTGAATTGCTTTTATACTGATTTTTCTAGTCCACATCTGTGCGGGTTAGCGAAATGTTATGTTCTAGAAATTTTCAATTTTACTTCTCATTTCATTGTATTCTCACGCTATTTGAATTGCTTTTATACTGATTATTTATATTATTAATAAATAGGTGTTTTTTCTTTCAAAAATATGGAGTACTTTGAAATAAGGAACGAGTCCACAAACGGTAAACAAAATGAATGCCATGTCTCCATGAATTCCGGATTCGGAGCCTCTACCTTACTTTAGAGTAAGGTAGGGGTAGGGTGCCTTGCTTCTTCCGGGTCGTCCGATCAACAATTCAACGGTCGGATATCTTGAGTTTCACTTTTTCGCTAATCTCGAGGCCTGCTTTGCCACTGCCCGACCGTCTGATGCGCAAGTCACCGTCCTAGTAGGACAGAGGATCCCAATCTGAATTTCACCTTTTAAGGCACAAAAATCACCAACTTGTAGTAGTAACCCAATAATCCATTAATTTATTTCTTCACCTCCAAGAAAACCAAGAAAATATTTGCTAAAGTAAACAAGCCTCACCTAGTCACCTGGATATCTCGCTTGTGGCAAGACCGCAGGACCATTTTGGATTAAAACTCCTTTCTTTATCGGCAAGAAAAAGATTGTATTTGAAGTTCTCAATTCCTCTTTGAGGCTGTACAACAATTTCTTCATCTCGATTCATTGGCATCTCGAATTCATACTACACGAGAATGGAGCGCACGGAGGATGATATCAAGCAGAAACTCCAAGAATTGCAGAAACAGTTAGGGAAGAAGCAATCTTTCGAGGAAGCAGTTTCCACAGTCAGATCCCTGCTCTCTCAATATTATCCTTCTGCTTCCCCCTCTCTTCGAACATCGGTATGTGTCTGACCCTTATCTCAATCACCCGATTCAGTTCATTTTCTTGAGTATAATTTGAGGAATTGTAGTTCACTGAGATTGAAATCCCTGCCTCCTGTTAGGCTTCTTGTGATATTGTATCTCAAAAGCTCTGGTATGGGGGTATTGGGGTTTGGGGTGACAATAAGATGATTTCTTTCTTACAATGAGCTGTAGTTATTTAAAGTTTGTAATGTGTGTGATTTAATATGAAAAGGCATATCAATAGGCATGGACAGCAAACATTAACCTCAAATAAAATCATCAAATGAATCCAAGGCTCTCCTATAATGCTTTCGAGCCTATTTACATTGTACCTGAACATGATCTTGTTGAGCTACTTGAGCTAAGGCTCTGACGGTTTATGCATTTTGCTCTTTGAGTTGTCTTGAACATCAACTACAAGCCCTATCAAGCTCAAGTAACTCGAACAATCAAGTGACCCGGGAGTGGGGTAATGTCTTTCTTTAGCCTGCATCTGCGAATTTGCTCAAGGCTGAGGCCTTTGTGGCTTTGCATGACATGAGAATTGTTCCATGATTGCCATGTGGATACATCTTTTTTCCGCCCTGTTGCCCTAAAAGTACTACTTGCTGACCTTTTTGGATAACAACACATAATGCTTGCAGTTCTATTCTTTCGTGTGTCGTGCTGCAACAATTTTAAAGACAAGATACACAGCACCTGGGTTTTGGCATGCTGGGTTACAGCTTTTCCTTGATGCCAAAAACCTAATGTCGGAGTCATCTGAGAAGAAACATCTGCAGGACTGCATTGCTCAAGCACGAAATCACATTGGTGAAGTAGAGAATCAACCTGAGAACTCATCATATATAGAAAATAGGCCTAGAGGTGAAAATATATCTTATTGATGGTTGCTTTATACGTAGTATATTTTATTGATGATTACTTTTGAGTGCACTATAGCGTCACTGTTTCTGGTTTATTTTGAGGTTCTGTCAATTCAGGATTTTTGTTTGGTGCAGTAGCACCATTGATTTTTGCTCTATATGAAGTTTTGTGGTTATTATTTCAGGGTTTCTGTTTGAGGGTCATCTCACTGTTGATCCTGAGCCTCCACAACCTGATTGGCTTGTAATGTCAAACCTTTTGAGTGCTGCAGCGACTTTGTCTGCTGGACAGTTATCTGAAGAGCATGCCGGCAACAGTAACCCATCAGATGGTGCTACCAACCTACTGCAGCAGCTGGCTGATAGACTTGATGACATTGTCCCACTGGTATGTTGCTCCCACTTTTTCCAAGCACTGATATTTATCAAGATGCTTCAGAAACATTCAATTCGATATCCGCGAACTTGCATAGAGTTATGGAAAGGTTACCAGGATTCTATCCTCCGTGCGTGAACTTGTGTATTATGATTGCATAGGATGAGCTGCATGACACTGCAAATTGTGATTCTGTTAAATTAAAGTACTTCTATTATAAAATGTAACAAGAATTAAAAGAAGTAAGAAATCACGATTCAAATAAGATTAAAATAATTACTCAACCAAATTATCAGTCAGTGGATTTATCACGTCTCCTTTACCACATTTTGCATTTTAGGTATGTATTTTTTACAGTTCAAGTGTTGTTGAACCTCTTGTCCATCTGATATGTCTATCGTGTGTACCTTTTTCTTGAAAAAAGAGAGAAGAGGCCCTCATAAAGGGACAAGTTGAAACCTGTTATTGTTAGTATTTAGTGGTGAAGTGTATTGTAGCCGCACCCTTATAACACATCAGCACACAAGGGGAACGGTTTCTCTACAAAGTACTAATTCTTTCTTGGGGGTTATTCTCTTATCCCTTGCTTCTTAATTCCTTACCACAATTCCCTTGCATTATACTGTATCATAGATGTAGTTAGTTTGATGAAAAAGGGAGGCAAAAGACAGATTTGAAAGAGAAGTTTCATTCCAGAGGGAATTTGGATGCATTTCTAGTGTATACTCTGATGCATTAGTTTTTTCTAACTTCAGATTTTGGATGATGCTCCTGCTGTCCCTAGAGCACCTCCTGCCAGTAAAGAGGTTGTGGCTAAGCTTCCAGTTACTATTGTTACAGATGAGTTCTTAGCAAAGCTAGATGCAGATGCTGAATGTGCCATTTGTAAGGAGAACTTGGTCCCAAATGATAAGATGCAAGAATTGCCTTGCAAGCATATGTTTCACCCTCCTTGCCTGAAGCCGTGGTTGGTAAGTTTGTTTTATTATAAATAATACTGGGTAAATAATACCTACTACTACATTCTTCCCACTTTGAATTGGCCCGCCTTATAAATGAGTGGGAATTTATGGTCATGGTTGAGGTAGAAAAAGTAGCATGAATGTTAACCACAAAAACCATTTTTAAAAGGAAATGGGAAGAAATTATGGGACAGAAGAAATTGAGGTAGTATTATACATGAAATAAAATTCAAAATTTACTTGCATGTGCTGCAAATCGGCTCAGCCTCTCGCTTTTCTTCTCAAATGATGACTTTCTTTGTATAGGACGAACACAATTCTTGTCCAATCTGCCGACATGAGTTGAGAACTGATGATCATAACTATGAAAGTTGGAAGGAGAGGGAAAAAGAGGCAGAGGAAGAGAGGAGAGGAGCTGCAAATGCCGTTCGCGAGGGTGAATATATGTATGTGTAGATAGATACATTATATTTTGTTTCAGATGAATAATGTATACTCTCTTGTTTCAGTTATGCTATAAACGTTCACAAAATGGACCCTGATGAGTTTCATTGTGTTCATATTCTTGATAATTATTGATTGTGAAAGCGTTGCTCAATATGAGTTATTTAGCAATACCATGTTTAGTGAATTAATTAAGTCAAGATGTCACCAACATTTGAAATTTATTTTTGGCCGATGCTCATTGTGATAATGTCTAGGTGGACACCATTCTGATGGTTTGGTAGAATTGCCAGTCTTAATTCTCCGTCCTAGGCATGGCCTCGGTTCGGGCCGCCCGGCCCGGGACCGGCCCGACCCGCTACTGTGCGGGCCCGGCCCGGCCCGGCCCGGTTTTCCGGGTCCGGGTCCGGTTCGGGCGGAGGCCCGGGGGTGGGGCGGTTCCGGGCTCGGTTCATGGGTTTGACGGCCCGGCCTGGCTCGGCCGGTTCGGGCTCGGGTCCAGGCCAGGGTCCGGGCCAAATCTATTTTTTTTTTTAATTTTTTTCATTTTTTTGGGCTGTTGGGCTTGGGCTATCTGTTTAGGCCGGTTTGGGGGGGGGGGGGGGGGGGTTTGGGGGGTGGGGGGGTGGGAGAAAGGAAAAAAAAAAAATTAAACCGGGTGGCCCGAACCGGCCCGGCCCGGTCCGGCCCGGAACCGGACCCGGGACCGCCCTACCCCGGTTCGGGCTCGGGCTTGCTATTACTGAACCGAGGCCCGGCCGGGCCTAGGCCCGAGGCCCGAACCGGCCCGGTTCAGTCACTGCTCCGTCCACGAAATTGGAGGTTAAAAAAGTTATCAAAAACTGATGTGTTACAATTTGTTAAAGGTAGAATTGCAGTAAATGAAATTTTAATTGCCAAAATATGATTATGAATTAAAATATCTCTAAATATGACTAGCTTTCCAATTCTACCATCGCTTTGTTTTAATACAATTCATATTCATTAATAATTAAAATATAACACTAATAACATAACTTTATATATAATGAAAATGTAAAAAACAAAAAACACATAATAAAAATTAAATAAAATTAATAAAAAAAAATTGAAAAATAAAAAATTTGAAAATTAAAATAAAATAGACAAAAAATGTAAAAAAAAATGCAGGTCTATGATGCCACCTCAACAACCTCTCGGCACCACCAGCTTCAATCAACGAAAAAATGCCAACATGTGTTAAAATGTCATCTTAATGACCGTTTTTTAGAGGACTGACATTTTCATGACATTTTTAAAGAAAAAATAACAGTTTTTACACAAAATGGAGTTTTTTAGCCGCTCAGAAGTAACACTTTATCTTTTTTTTTTAAGTTTTTCATTTTTGTAAATAAAATAATTTTTTAATTTTTATTATTTTAGTATTTTAAAAATATATTAGATTTTAATATTTTTTACGATTTTTTATAAGTTAATTTATTTTTTGTATTTATTACAAATACAAAATGATTATCCTATTGAGTTTTGGTAAGAGTAGAATAGGAAGATAAGATATGCTTTAGTCCGATTTTGGGAAGAAATAATATAGTTCTATTTGTACATTTAGATATTAATTTAGTCCTACTTAGGACTATTATCTCTTAGTTAAACTCTAAAGAAAAAGATTTATTTGTTTGTTATTAAGCTAATTTTACAAATGTACCAACTTTAGAGTTATAAACTTATAATGTATTATGGAGTATCATTTATCATATAATATACTCCGTATATGCGAATATTAAAGTTACAAACTTACATTCATGTTTACAATTTCCACTAACAAATTAACCTGCACTTTTAACTAAAAAATACGAAATTCTTCATCCGTCTTATCAGACTTTGTCAACTTTTTCTTTTTGGTGTCTCAAAAAAGTTTGTCACTTTCACATTAAAGCAATTAATTTGTGGTTCGATCTGCTCAATTCTCTATCTCTTCTTTACAAACCTCAATCGTACAACTTTTTCTTTTCTTATTTCTCACCTACTTCGAACTTGGCAAAGTCCAGCGGGATAGAGGTAATATGTTATTTACGTACGAACTACGAAGTGTTCTAAAGATGCTTTCTTTGGGACTGCTTTCAGTCCCAGACCAGACTTAAAGAGATCGGACCATACCAGACCTAAACAGATCAAATCGGACTTGGACATATACTATCGTATATAATACACAGAGACTAGACATTTATCAGACTAGATCGGTTCATACCAGACTTAAACATACCAGACCAGATCAGACCAGCAAATTACAGTCCAAAAGACAACATCCTAATTTGTGTTAGAGTCGGAAAAATACTCTTAGGGCAATTGCTGTAAAAATGCACTCCATATAAGCCAATGGACTCTTTATTAAAAAATGTATTCCCAATGCAAAAAGATAGACCTAATGAAACTGAGTTAGCAATGATAAATAGAGGAAGGTCTTACACGAAAGCAAAACTCTCCTTCTACACCACTAAATAATAGAGATATTACCCAAAATGGGACTAAAAAAGTTTGGAAATTCCAAAATAGGACTTCCATGTTTTTATTCCCAAAATATGACTAATTACTGTCATGTTTTGGCAGTATCAGACTTCAAACATGACATTATTTTCCAAATTTGGCAGTAATTAGTCTTATTTTGGGAATAAAAACATGACAGCCCTATTTTGGAATTTTCGAACTTTTTTAGTCCCATTTCGGGAACTTTCCCTAAATAATAGTACTCCCTTTTTTCATAAAATTCTTCTAGATTTGTCTTGGAGTTTAAGAAAGTGAGATTGAAGTCAAAATATGTGGTTATGGGTGAGTAAGAAAAAAAATAAATGAATGTTAGCCACGCTCTCTCTTTTGCTTTGGGATAAAAGGCTGCACAAAACTTTACAAAAAGGGAAACGAGAAGAATTTTTTAGAACATTCCAAAATGGTAGGTGAAACAAATTTTATGGAACGGAGGGAGTAGTATGTAAATAATAAGCGAATAATGCTCCGTAGTCCGTACTGGTGGGCACCTTTCTCTTTCATATTTTTTAATTCAATTTAATAACGTTAGCATATAATTATTCTTTAGCATTGGAACACAATTGGTATAGACTCTATCATTTGAAAGATAACCGACCCAAACATGAAATAAACTTTTTCATTATATTGTCACATCATCACTAATGCACCATCAACATTGGAGATGCTCTTAACTTATTGCCAATTGACATCTTGGCAATTGACCAGAGAATATCAAATTGACAATTTTCACTTTCATCGAATATCAAATTGTTGATGATATCTTGTTGGTGTTGTCTTACACTCTTACTATAAAATAATCTTTATGACATACAAAGATTGTGAGATATTGTGAAATCCACCTCTAACAGTGTGTTCCCACTAGGGTTGTAAACGAATCGAATCGAACCGAATACTTAATAATGTTATTCATATTTGTATAATTATCGAATATTCGTATTCGTATTCGTTTACAATTCGAATCTTATTTGATATTCGTATTCGATTCGTTTGATATATTCGAATATCTATATTCGAATCTTTTTCGAATCGAATTCGAATATTGGAATTCGAAAAACATTAAAGTTAAATTGTGGAAATAATTAAAATTATGAAACAAAATACGATACAAGTCACTTCAAATTTAACATCAATATAAATAAATCAATGGAGAATTTTAATTGTAAATTAAGCTATTTTGACTTGGTAAAGTAAGAGCGTTTAAATTAAAATATGCAAAATATTTACATGAATATTATGTTATTAATATTTTTACATTGAATTATATTATTAATAAGAAGTAGTATATATTGCATGAAGATATATATATATATATATATATATATATATATATATATATATATATAGAATAAAGATCAAATGAGAACGGTGCTTAACGTGAGAACCCGTGAGAACCCCTGAGAATGGTGATATTTTTGGCTGAAATTTTTTGTGTGTGTTCATCTTCAAATCTAGTTCATCCATACCAAATTTGAACAAAAAATTCAATCGGGAAGGTCGTCAAATAATTTTTGAAAGAAAACTGGTCCGGAACATACATATAAAACGCAATTTTCTTTCAAAAAATCATTTGACAACCTTCCCAATTGAATTTTTTGCTCAAATTTGGTATGGATGAACTATACTTGATGAGGAACATACACAAAAAATTTCAGCTAAAAATACCACCGGTTCTAAGGGTTCTCATGAGTTCTCATTTTAAGAGGGGTTCTCACTAGAACCCTCCCCTATATATATATATATATATATATATATATATCGAATATGTTCGAATAGTATTCGAATCGAATATCATAGTATTTGTATTCGTATTCGTAAAGTATTCGAATAAAAAAACATATTTGTATTCGTATTCGTATTCTACTTGTTCGAATTCGAATCGACATTTTCGAATTCGAATCACGAATCGAATCAAAATTATTCGATTCGTTTACAACCCTAGTTCCCACTTGAGGAACTTGTTTTTAGATACAATGAGAAATAACGATTCTTTAACTTTTTCTAGTTATTGAAGAACTTTAAAATTTTACATGTTTACTATACTCATTGTTAAATACATTAAACTTGGTATTAGATTGCACCAAAAGCTTGAATCACAGGGCTTTGACTTGACGAATAAGGTTATATTCACGTTTATTTTCCATAATAACAATCATGATATGATGAGTTTGGCATGAGTTCCGGATCCACTCCTCCATGGACAGAGGTGAAACAATATACATGAACAACTACGTCAAATTGTCATACATTTCCTTTTAGGACATCTCCAATATTGAGGTGAATTGTGATTCCTCACCAAATGCACACCTTGAAGAGAATTGTCTACTCCAATGCAAAAAAATAAAAAATAGACATGATTGAGCTGTTGTGGCAATTAAACAATCAGAACATAGTCCAGCACAAGGTCCATATGTGGACATTCCGTGCAACCTTTTGATAGAAAAAGGCGGGCCTATATTTATGGAACGCCACACATTTACTTTTCTCTTTGGTTTCTTTTGTTTTGTATTTAATTTAGTTCTTGCACATTGAAGGTGTGATGTAATTGACCATCTTTTTGTCAATACCGGACCCACCTTTCTAATTAAATAGATCTAGATCAAATTTTTGCCACTTCACCTACAATGGACTAAGAGCATTGGAGATGCTCTTAACGGTCTAAACAAATTGGATTAATGATCATAATAGTAATTTTCATATGTTATTTTTCTGGACTAAATTGGTGAAAAAAGAGGGTGATTTACCAAATTGGTAAAAAAAAAACTCCATAGAAAAATTGGTAAAAAAAAAGTTTTCGCGACAAGTTGGTCAAAATTTTGGAAGTGAGATATTTTTAGTCCCCGACTTTAGGATTCCTGTCATCTAATCCCCTAAATATTGTGAAATTGACATTTCAACGATTGTGATTTTATCATGAAAAGTGGATGACTAAAAATGTCAACGAGAGTGTTTGACAATTAGCAATTGGCTGTTAGCGGATAGATGGTTGAATCAACAGATTGATACTAACGGATTTTGTTAGTTATTTTAACCAATGGCTTTCATCAGCGGTGATTTGAAGTAAAATGCTTAGTAACTTAGATGTTTGTGATTAACTGCTAGGAAGTAAAATGATTATTAATAATATAAATTTAAAAGTGTATATTTAAAATAACTTAATTTCTTTTATTTTTAATAAGTTTTGGAAAAAGATTACAGAGTTAGAATACCGCCGCTTAGGGTTTAGGTGGACAACTCCACCATGGAGATGAAGACTGCGGCGATTGATATTTCGTCGGTCGAAGAGGAGGAGGAGGAGTGCATCGTCCTGGATTCACGTCCTGTCTCTAGGGTTTCACCGCTAGAGTTTTATTTGTTCGCTATCGTCTTTTAGCGATGAACGGTGCCGTCTTCCAGCAATTCGTTCAAGGATAGGGAGATTCGGCTGGAGGCGACTCAAGGGCCGATCAAGGCGATGAAGGAAGAAGATGAAGTGAAGGCGATCCGACCCCCTCCTGGGCCGCCGCTGGTGGTTCTTGGAAGGCTGAGTGAAGTTGCTTTTATTTATTTTGATTATTTGTTGTTATCTGGTTATGTTTTATTTTATTTTTTCAGTTGTAAGACTGAATTTGAGTTTGGATGTGGATGATGATTTTACTGCGATTACCGTGATTGGCTCATTTGTGCTCACAAGTGGATCAACGAGTTATATTATTGAGATGATTAATTCTGAGTCCGGTTCGAGGGACGGCGGTTATCAGAAGTATTTTTGTCAGATTACCTACTATCTGAATGATGTGTTATCGATGTAAGCCTCGTTCATCCAAAAAAAAAAGCTTTGGAAAAAGTTTTAAAAATTATATTTACTTTTACTTCATATAACTATTATCACTATCATTTTTAAGACATGTACATTTACACGAGCACAAACATGTAATTTCGTTTATTTTTAGTATTAATATTTTAAATATGACTACTTTGTTAGCTTTTTTTTAAATGATATTCCATATAAAATAGAAGAAATATTCATATTGATTATTCATAGTGATTTTATGGAGTAGAATTTTTTTAAATACTAGTAAAATTGTTAATTTTAACAATACTACATGAATTAAATGTTGAAATTCTAAAGTCGAGAATAAAAATTGTCTCACTAAAAAACTGATCAATTTGTTACTGGCCGGAGCTTTGTTTCTTTACCAACTCGGTAAACCACCTTTTTTTTACCAATTTGATAATTTGGCTTATTTTTCTGCTTGCTAACGTTGTCTGGTTATTGAAAGAATATAAACAACGGTTATGATCAATGTAAAAGCTTTGAATTCGAGATGTTCTCAATTAGTGTTGTTTAGTAAGCATTCCACCTTCATGTTTTACTAAACAACAAAAATGCTATTGTTACACACTTTTCATACACACACCTACACACTCGTGTCTGTGCATGTTTTTTTTGTCTCTATACAGACACAATGTATTTGAAAATATGTTGTGTCTGTATACAGACAAAACAAACCTACACAGACATGAGTGTGTGAGTGTGTGTGTAAAAATTGTGTACCTCAAACTGGATTGTACTAAACAATGTGTTAATTTTTTTAATATTGTCAAATATAAGGTTTCTGAAGGAAAGTTGGGAACCTATGTTTGTTTTGAATCTATGTTTGTTTTGAGTCTATGATACTTAATAGGAAAAATTGACAAGAATAATCTCACCTTTCACCGGTCTTCTTATAATAATCCTACCTTTACATAATCCCAAAATAATCCCACATTCGCATCTCATCTTCTTTCTTTGGACCCTGACCAAGTCTTTTACCTTTCTTTGAAAATCTTATATAAATAATCTCACATTTATAAAGATCTAATAGAAAAGTGAAAGGTGAGATTATTTATAGGATTTTCAAAAAAAGAGTAAAAACATGGTCAGGGTCCAATGAAAGAAGATGGGGTGCAAAGGTAGGATTATTCTGGGATTACCTAAAGGTGAGATTATTATGAGAAGACCGGCGAAAGGTGGGATTATTTTTGTCAATTTTTCCTACTTAATAACCCATACTAAAAGAGTTAAAAGATAGAGTTTGAGTACTACTTTCAAACCCTTCGTTCAAATATACGGAATCGATCCCTTTCCGAATTCAAGCTGCAGTCTCCTGGAACGACACTAGCTCCTCCTTCGAACGGTACTCCTTGGAACGCCACTCTTCCTTGAACCTCTTTCTCCATTCAAACGACACTCCTCCTTCAACCTTACCCAAAACCTTTTGGTCACTTTGACCATCATGAAAGTCAAGAACCCTACCATTCCAATGATTAAAGAAGATGAGTCTAAACGTAAGCTTAGGTTGGTAAAATTAGGAGAAATTAATCCTGCTAAATATCTTCTCAAGAAGTCGGACTCAAAGCAGAGTAAGGAAATTCAACGAATAGAAGATCCTCAGAAGTTGAATCCTCTCGTTCCAAACAAAGAAATTAGAGGTATTTACCTAAATAGGAGTAAATAGAACTTTAATTGCTAAAATAGGAGTAAAGTTTAAAATTTCCCCAAATAGGAGTAATTATTTGTGGTTTGACATATATACCCCTCAAGCTTGCCCAAACTTACTGCCGGCGAGTAACGCTAGACCACCGCTAGTCGCCGGTCACCGTCGCCGGTCACCGCCGGCCACCACCACCACCGTAGAACTAGTCGCCGCTATAGATCTAGCCATTGTCTCTGGAGATCTATCCGCTGCCGCCGTCGGATCTGGCCGCCTCAGGCCGCCGCATGCCGCCCCTGCAGATTCCGGCGCTGCCACTTCAGATCCGAGCTTTGCTGTGGCAGATCTGAACTTAGTCGCTGCAGATCTAACCGACCCCGCCGTCGATGCAAATATTTTCATTAGAATGCCATTATGAATCGAGAATGCCATATGAATGGCATTTTCAGAGGGAAATATGAAAATTTTGAAGTATAAGAATGCCATTTTTATGGCATTTTCAGATTAATTTTGGAATTTGTTGACAATCAAATAAGAAATAGAGCCGTGAGCTCTAGTCTTGCCACAAAAAGATGAAACAAGGACGGAAAGATGAAGCAAAAGAGGGACACTTCACCGTCGTCCATGAATTTTCCGACTACTTCTTCCCACCTTCATCCAAAACTGCCGGCCATGGTGTTTGGTCATCCCACTTCTTCCACAACTATGCCGTCCTTGGGAACGAAGAGAAAAGGAAAAGGAGTATATGCGATGCAAATAAAAACGAAGAGAAAAGGATATGGGGTTTTGGGATATGAGTGGACCGAATAATGAGCGAGATGGGTTTTGGGCCTGAGTGGAGCACTGGAGTGTATCATCATTAAGGGTAAAATGGGGATAATACTGGAATTTAGTCCCGTTTAGGCTCAAAAACATAAGCACTCCTACGGCAGCTTATTCGGTCATATTTACTCCCATTTAAGACCAATTTTCAAGAAATTAAGGCAATTACCCATTGAGCCAGCCAAATTACATGTTTTTTTGTTCTAACTTTGAATTTGTTTGTCCGTGTTCTACTGTGTTTGAATGGGTTTGACTGTGCTTTTCAAGATATTCTAATGTGAATTTGACTGTGTTCTACCGTGTTTCACTGTCGTCCGGCTTTAATTTATTTTATCTTGCTGTGTTAAGTTTGAACCAGTTTGACCTTGTTCTGCCGTGTTTGACTGTGTTCGACCATGTTTGACTATTAATAATTAGAACACTTATTCATGATATAGTTTGTTCACGTTCCATCATATCTCCTATGGTTGACACAACACTCTTTCCTAACATGAAAATTACAATAAAAAGTTTATTGAAGAAGTTTCAAGCAAAAATGAAGTGTTGCTTAGGTGATCATCCCAACCTATTGAATCAGTTTAGGCCCACCATGTTTGACAAGTACATAAACATACAATATGTCCCTGCACCAATCCTTATGTGGCCTTTACGTGGTAGAATAACATATATATTGAGAGAACTTCATAATATAATTGTGGTTTGTGATGAAGGGAGTTTCAATTTGTTACTCTTTAAAGAAGTTGGCTTTAATTAGTGGGTCGAACTGCGCTTCTCTTGACAAAGACAATTTTGAGAATGACTATGAAGAGGAAGATCGAGCAAATTTTATTGACACTCACTGGCCTTCTGTTCTTCATGATGGAAGTAAAGATAATTTTGGTTATAACACGATATTAAATCGTTTTCACCAACTTTCTAATCATTTAAACCATCACGATAGAGCTAAAAAAATATGAAGCATGATCTGAAGTGATAAGAATGACATCACTTGTGTTTATAATGATTGTTCTATTTGCCCCTGTCAAGAGTGACAATTTCATTTCTGATTGGATCATTGCACAAGTTGATAGCTACTTTTTAGACTTCCTGTGGGGTACATGGTCTTTTACCGAGTCTCTTAATTCGTTGAAAAGGAATTTAAAAAAGAAGATGGATGAGATTATGCATCAAATGTCACTCCAACATTATACTATACGAGTTTCTTAACTCCGATATCGGTGATATACTTTAATTTATGACTATTGAATTAAATTTTTTATTTTTAGTATTTGTTGTATTAATTATTATTTGAATATCTTTTTTAGATTTTGTTGTTGGAGTGTGTGCCAGACTTTGATGAAAAATTACTTTCATACAAAAATAAACTACTCCTATCTCTCTTCATATTTGTCTTTGGAAGCCTAAAGAGATAAAGGAGAACTTAAAAAGCCAGGAAGTCCACAAAGTTGTAGAAGGTGCAAAATAAGTCATATTGCAAATTTCATTCATTTATCCATTTCGGAAAATTTTGTAACATATATGTTTTTCCAAATTGAGTGATCATTGTAGATTGATCATCCATAGAGTGTGCAGAATATTCTTTTTCCTGATTCTTTGGAGGCTCAGACTGAATGGATCACCTCATTAAAATCAATAGAGGAGAACTACCATAACATTGAGATTGATGTTAATGTTCTTCAACTAGAGAAGAACTTGGTTCTTATTCATGTCTCTAGGAAAAGATCGGAGAAGCCAAAGAAAAAATATATTCCATCAAAAAAGAAAAATGAATTTATCACAAAAGTGATAAGGAAGATGAAGCATACCTAAGAGATGATTGTCCACTTACCCCAATTCACTACATTATTGATATTCCTCCTCCAACACAACCTCCTTCCCTAGACAAAGCTTTGATAGATTTGCTATCTGAGTGCATTACAGTATTTATAGACAAAAAAATCCAGATCTTGAAGCAAATTCTGATAAAAGAGTCGACTTTTCAAATTCTGAGAAAAAAGTCGACTTCTCAAATTCCGAGAAATGAGTCCACTCTTTTCTCAGAATTTGCTTCAAGAACTTGAATTTTTTGTCTAGATGTACCGTAATACGCTCACATAGTGAATCCATCAAAGCTTTGTCTAGGAAGAAGGTTGTGTTGGAGGAGAAATATCAGTGATATAGGGAACAAGAGTAAGTGGACAGTCATCTCTTCTGTATGCTTCATCTCCCAAAAGTGATAAATTCCCTTTTTTTATGGAACATATTCTTTCTCTGGCTTCTCTGATCTTTTCCTTGAGACAGAAATATGAACCAAGTTATTCTTTAGTTGAAGAACATATGTATCAATCTCAATGCTATGGTAGTTTTCCTCTATTGATTTTAATGACGTGATTCATTCAGTCTGAGCCTCCAAAGAATTAGGAAGAAGAATACTTTGCACACTCTAGAGTTAAAAAAATTATGTAAATTAGAATATGTTTTACTACTGCCAGGTTTGACCATCGTGGACCAAGTTTGACCATGGTAGATCAATCTACGGTGATCACTCCATTTGGAAAAACATATATGTTGCAAAATTGTCTGAAATGGATACTTTGACCATGGTTGATCAATCTCCTGGACTTCCTGATTATTTAAGTTTTTCTTTATCTCTTTCGCCTTTTAAAGACAAATGCGAGGAGAGACATGAGTAGTTTGTTTTTGCTTGAAAGCAATTTTTTAGCAAAGTCTGGCACACACTCCAACAACAAAATCTAACAAATATATTCAAATAATAATTAATTCAACAAATACTAAAAATAGAAATTTTAATTCAATAGTCATAAATAAAAGTATCTCACTGATATCGGAGTTACGAAACCCGTATAGTATAATGTTGGAGTAACATTATGATGCATAATCTCATGCATCTTCTTTTTTAAATTCTTTTTCAACGACTTAAGAGACTCCATAAATGCCCATGTACCCCACGTGGAGTCTAAATAGTAGCTACCGACTTGTGAGATGATCCAATTAGGAATGTAATTGTCTCTCTTGATAGGAGCTAAAAGAACCATTACTGTAAACGCAAGTGATGCCATTCTTATCACTTTAGACCGTGCTTCATCTTTCTTAGCTCTATCATGATGGTTTCACTAATTACCAAGTTAGTGAAATCGATCTAAAATCGTGTTAAAACTAATTTTATCTGTACTCCCATCACGAAGAATAGAAGGCCAATGAGTGTCAATAAAATTTGCTGGATCTTCCTATTCTCAAAATTGTCTTTGTCCAGAGAACTGCAGTTCAACCCACTAATTAAAGCAAACTTCTTTAGAGAGTGGCGAATTGGAACTTCATTCATTACAAACCACAATTATATATTTTGAAGATTTCTAAATATCCGCTACTCTACTAAGTAAAAGCCACATAAGGATTGATGCAGAGACATATTGTATGTCTAACTTGCGAAATATAGTGGACCTAAACTGATTCAATAGGTCGGGATGGTCACCTGACCAACACTTCATTTCTATTTGAAACTTTTTTAATGGAGTTTTTATTATAATTTTCATTTCAGGGAAACATGTAGTGTTAACCAAAGGAGATATGGATGAAACTGACCTAAACAAAATATATCATGAATAAGTGTTTTACTTATTAATAGTCAAACACGGTCAAACACAGTCAAACACGGTAGAATAAGGTCAAACAAGCTCAAACTCAACATAGTAAAATAAAATAAATTAAAACTATAACACAGTCAAACACTGTAGAACACGGTAGAACACAATAAAAAACGCATTCAAACACATTCAAATTCATATTAGAATATAGTAAAAAACAGTCAAACTCGTTCAAACACAGTAGAACACGGTCAAACAAATTCGCAGTAAGAACAAAAAGCATGTAATTTGTTCGGCTCAATGGGTAATTACCTTGTTTTCTATGTTTGGAGCGAGAGGATTCAACTTTTGAGGATCTTCTACTGGTTGAATTTCTTTACTCTGCTTTGAGTCCGATTTCTTCAAAAGATGTTTCACATGATTAATTTCCCCTAATTTTACCAACACATGCTTACGTTTAGCCTTATCTTCTTCAACCTTTGAAATGGTAGGGTTCTTGACCTTCACGATGGTCAAATTGGTGAGAAGGTTTTTGGCTAAGGTTAAAGGAGAAAGAGGGTAAGGAAGAGTGCCTTTGAAGGAAGAGCGTCGTTCGAAGGAGTATCGTTCAAAGGAGGAGTGCCGTGGGAGGAGACTGCAGTTCAAATTGGAAGGACTCCAGGTCATCCATAGTATTCAAATTCTATCTCTTAACTCTTTTAATATGACTTATTATTTGATTTTACATGTTTTTAATTCTTTAAAAAAGAAAAGGGCATTGTGATAAGGAAAAATTGACAAAAATAATCTCACCTTTCACTGGTCTTCTCATACTAATCCTACCTTTACATAATCCCAAAATAATCTCACCTTTTCATCCCATCTTCTTTCATTGGACCCTGACCAAGTTTTTTTACATTTCTTTGAAAATCTTATATAAATAATCTCACATTTATAAAGATATAATAGAAAAGTGAAAAGTGAGATTATTTATATGATTTTCAAAAAAAGAGTAAAAAACATGGTCAAGGACTCAAGGTCCAATGAAAGAAAATGAGATTATTTTTGTTTATTTTTCGTTGTGATAATATAAGTTGTCTTCATTGTTTCTGGGAGAGTCCCAGACGCACTATGCTGGTCTGTTTGTGGACGGTCAGTTGAAATGGGCGGCGTAGGAAGAGCGGAGGTGTTTAGTAGCAAAGGGTGTTCAAGGGTGTCTGTCGACATCTCTTCTTCATCCAGGGGACTGCAATCTCATTCTTCAAAGCCACAGTTGACCATGCATCCGTCTTCTGCTAGCACTGATGTAATAGAATCTAGGGAAGAAGCTCGCTCAGTTGGCCCATTTTCTGGGCTTATCATCTGCGTAACGGGATTGTCAAAAGGTATATTAGAATGCTGCTTATGGTCTGCGACTCTGCGCTGTTATACCAAGATAAATTCCGCTATTGAACTTTGTTCCTCATGAATTATGATGATTTGGCACTTGTGACTTGTCATTCTGGTCTTGTAATTATCTGCTTCTCCCGTATCAAGTTTGGTTATTTAATGTATAATTCTATGGTGTAAAGCATAAATGGTTTATTGATGTTATGAGTTATGACTCATGACTCTGCTTAAATGTTGGTTGGCAGAAGCCAGGATGCAAGTTATGAAAGCAACAGAGGAGCTGGGTGGGAAATATAGCCCACATTTGCATTCTAAGTGTACCCATTTGGTGGTTCAAATATCCTTTACTTCTTCAATCTTGCATTCCCCTTCTTTTCTCGGTGTGAAATTCGTTAGGTATTTTGATTTCTCTGTTAAATGATACAGAGCAACCTCTTCTTTCTTTGGCTCTCTTCTTTTCCATACACTTTGTGTGAGTGTATACTGTTTAGTAATTCACATAAAATGTTGATTTATCAATCAACAATAAAAATGGCAGCTGACTAGCAGTTTGTTACAGGAGGTCTGTTTATGTACTTGGATTGTTTCCACATCTTGTCCTAGGCGGTTGTTTAGTTAACATATTTAGTGCTTCTACTGTCATGGTTCCTTAATGCCTTTTAAAGATTTCATGGCCACAAATTTGAGCATGCCCTGAAACATGGATCCAGAAATGGTCTTTTGATTGTTACGCTGAGTTGGTTTGTGGATTGTGTCAAAAATAATGGTAAGACATTTCGTTTTTCTTGCTTCTTGCATATATTTATGAACAAGCGTATTATGCTTCATGCACAAGTCAGTTAACAAAATGTTTGAAAAACTGGACACATGGCAGCATCCCTAATTTTTAGCACATCATATTCTTGTCAATTGTTTTTACACTACCTCATTTGTCTGCTATTGTATTTGTCATTGAAATAGCTGAACTCCTTTTGCAATTTGTTTTTGTTTTCTTTTTGCAGTGATTTTGAGGTTGCCTTTTTAAACCTTGACTATTTCCGCCATTATTTGATGAATATTTTATGCTGCTTTTATAAACAGAAAGGTTGAGTGAATCACATTACAGTGTTAAAGTTGCTGGAGATGGTGTTTCTTTGGATGTTTTCAACCGACTTATCCAGAAGGATGACATTCAGGCTTCTTGTATTCCTTTGGGAACATATGACGTGATTGAAGAGCCACAACCAAATATTTTAGAAAGAGAATATGCGAAAAGAATGATAAGATCTCCTTTGTCTGGTTATTCATTGTATGTAGATATTGGTGTGTCTGATGAACTACGTAGCAAGGTATATTTGTGGTGACCGGTGAATGATGCTTAGAGATTTAGGTTCTATTCTTTTGGGATTGAGTTTCAAATTTTTCCTATATTTTTTGTTTTTAGATCTAATATATTTTTTGTTTTTAGATCTAATATATTTTTTGTTTATAGATCTAATATATTTTACGAAGTAACAGTCAGTCAGTCTATGCAATTTTCGACGCAATTTTCACTATGAGTCATTCGGAAACAGTCTCTCTGTGCTTTAGTGCTGCGGTAAGACTGCGTACATCCGACCCCCCTTACCCCACCGTAGGTGGGAGCCTTTGCGGCACTGGGGTAATGATGATGATGATGAGATCTAATATATTTTATGTTCATCCTAGGTGCATTTTTTAATTTTTCAAGTCACAATTTGTTAAAAGTTATTAAAACTCATGCAAACTCATCTTACTCAATTTGGTGCTACACTTAGGTTGTTGAAGCTGCTTCTGCGCAAGGGGCTGCTTTGGTAGATCAGTGGTTTATCGGTTGTGGTGCCACTCACATAGTCTGTGAAGGAAATTCTATTCAGAAATATCTTGGTCATTCTGCAAATATTATTACTGTAAGTGGCTTCCTTCTGTTCCATTTTGTGCATTTAGTATGGACTGCAAAATATTTCTTTCTGCTTCAGCCATTATGGGTTCTGAAGACCGTAAAGGAAAAGCAACTGCAAAGGCTTGTTCACATATCAGCTGATCTTGCTAAGCAAACAGGAACATTGATTGAGAATATTCAATCTGGCATTCATAAAGAGGTATACTTTTTTTGTTTACTCATATTCTATTCACTTTTTTTTGTTCCATCATTTGCAATGGAGCCAAAGATTCATTATTTTTTGGCTTGAGAATATGATGGAATAAAGCAAAATGGCTCACTAAACTGTTTGCGCTTCTTTGTTATGAAGCAACAGTTAGTTCATGCAATTTTGAACGCGATTTTCACTATGGGTCATCCGGAAACAGTCTCTTTGTGCTTTAGTACAGGGGTAAGACTGCGTATATCTGACCCCCCTTACCCTACCGTAGGTGGGAGCCTTTGCGGCACTGGGGTAAATGAAAATGAAAATGAAATATTCTATTCACTTTTTTTTTCCTGAAGATATCCCTACACGGCTACACATACTCTTCTGTCATTGTAAAAGAGTAGGTGTTTGGTTTGTGAAGATCACTTTTAAAATGCCTATTAAAAGCATTAAGCATTGAGATGTATTCATCTCATTGGCAATCCCACGGCCCATCGGTCAGTTTTTCTAATCTGTTGCCTATTTTTGAACCCAAACTATCAGTGGATATTGAACCCAAACCTGCATACTTTAACTACTTATTTCTTAACTTTTTATATTACAATAGGCCACCACGTTGTTTTTTCCCCTAAAATACAATGGAATTACATAATTGGTAAAATAAAAATGTTCTTAAAGTGAATTACATAAAAAAGGGATAGCAAAAGCCTCACGCACCTGCACGTGTAGGTGTGTGCCAACAAGGTGGGGTAGTTTGGCGTTGTCTGATTTTGTGAAGAGATTTCTGGAGACCCAGAATTGACAGGCTTGTTCATCTATATACCTATGGGTGGAAAGAAACTTTAATTTAATGTGAACAATTCTTTCGGATAACAAATTGAAGGACGGTAAACAAGATTTTTTCTATTGAAAAAAATTAGTCAACGGGGGTAGCTTTGATACAATATTGAAAGAGAGAAAACAACCTAGGAGAGAAGATGGCATCTTTTTCACATAAAATGAATTACTATTACTTGTATATACACTTATACAGCTTATGCACACATAAAATGTCTCATAAATTACTCTCTAGAACAATAGAACATATAGCAGATTAGCATTTAGCAGTAATTTAGTATATCACCCAACCTAGAGTTCAGTGTTGTCCCTTTCTTTAATGATGGCATGTATCATATTTTGCTCAACACATTTAATTACTCCCTCTATCCCATTTTCCTTGTCTTGTTTACTGTTCTTTAGTCAAACCAACTCGTCTTTGGACCTTTAATTTCTTTTAACATTTTGTATACTTTTTTTTGAATTCGGTTGTTTGGTCACTAATATTATTCATGTAGTTTCTAAATATATAAGTTTTACAGTTTACTTACTAATATTCTCTCCATCCCAATTCCCGAAGTATAAGCCCACACTTTCTTATTAGTGAAAAAAGTAAAATTTAGTTCATATTAGCAAAGTGGACAAAGAGACAAAGGGTGATTTAAGAAATGTAAAAAGTTAATGGTGTTCAATTTAAGGAAGTGGACCTTATTTTGGGACATACAAAAAGTGGACCTTACTAAAATGCCTTGTGATATTTTCTAAGTGAAATAACCATATGATGATGACGGTTTTAATATAATATCACATTCTTTTTTCTGAAGAAGGCTGTGGCAGCAAAGGCGGTATAAATAAATTATAAAACTCTGCCACTGATTTTCGCATTAATTTTTGAATTTATAATGTTACATTTGGGCAATGAATTGACAGTTTGACATCATAAATCTCATGCCACCTTTCCCAACTCTACACCATAGTAGTGATTAAGGCAATGATGATGATGATACTAAATAAAACTTTACAAAATCGAACTTTAAATAGCTTAGTCCTTTTGATCAATTGTCGTGATTGTTTGAGCCATTCAGAATTTAGCAGATTTATTTTCACTACCATGGGTGTTTTTTCTGTTGAATTTGGCAGGCAAAAAAGCATTTAGATTTGTTTATGGGTTTATTAGGTTCCTAATGTTCTATTTATGCTAGTTTCTGCACACTTGGATTTGTAGCACTTCTTCTTCAGTGTCATGTTTCCATTTATTTTTCTCAGCTGCTTTTAGTTTTTGAACATTCCTTCCTAATTGTCATTAGGGAATGAAGATGAATGTGGATTTGTGGGTTGATGCACCAAATTCTACACCTAGAATAAGTCATGATGTGAGGCAAAAGATAGTGAAACTTGCTAAAGATGGAGTAAGGAAGAGAAGGGGGAAACATATGCAGGTAGATATTTACACAATATCGGTGGACCAGATAGTTTTTATGCAGTTTCTAATAGTATCCGTCCTTTTGAAATTAGATGTATTTGTTGTATATATTCCAATTGCAGACATTTCAAACCCCTATGCGTCCAATAACACCAAGTAGTCTTCTGGATTCGATTTGCTGGTCAATATCTGAGCCAACTTCAACTGCCTCTATATATGTAGATTCTTCTAGTGTTGAAGCCCCTAAACTGCAGAACACATGTTTCTCCAATGACGTTAATGAGGATGTGAAGGAATCTGAATTTTCATTTGTGAACTTATCCCGACCACTTAACGAAAGGTTAGAATGAGCATGAGAAGTTACTTCTAGTAGTATAACTTGTCATTATGAGTACAAGTAAAACTGTTGTTAGAATATTCATCTCAGCAAACCTATTAGTAGACCTACATATCTACCACAGTTTGATTAGCATATTCTATTAATTCTATAGAACTATAGAAGACCTATGGTTTCATTTCAGCAGACCTAGGGGGGTAAGTTTCTCGCTCTATGTCTTACTTGAGTTCATCTATGTATTCCCATGTATCTTGGTTCCGCTGCAGATGTCTTCTTCTCATTATCCTTCAGTCATGTACGAAGCTTTATGTGTGAGGACTAAATGCTTAGTTATTTCTTTGAGTAACAGAGAGCTTTGGGGGTGTTAGGGATCTGTAATGAAACCAACCATGTCATGAATCATGAACAAACTTTCTTTTATAAAATACAATAAACAAGCCTTAATTCCAAAACACGGGGTTAAACTGCATGAACTAATAGAAAACTGTTGATGTCATCCACCAATATCTACATTTTTACTCTTTTCTGTCATGTATTACAGAAAATCTATAATACACATTATCAACACTGTGATGTCCTTTTTACACCTTTGATCCATGTTAATTTTGACTTACAATGGCTCTTCTTTAAATTTCTAGCATTAAAAAATTCAAATAATAAACTCGTACTGGGAAGCCTACTTCTAGTCATTCAATGTGCCTGAAGCAATGCAGGACTTGTTCTTTTCACCTAAAAGAATGGGATCGGATCTCAAATTTTCAAGATCTGTTTTGAATGTTTCTAGTCTTGGATGACCTGATCGGTAAGTTATAAGCATAATAAATGACGGAAACAGAACAACACTGTAGTCAGTTCCCCTTATACGGTGTTTTGAAACATTTAATGAGATGGAATTGATTTCCACCAGAAATTGAATCAAATTCTTATGATCAGAACGAGAGTTGAATTGAATTCTTATGTTTGGAGTGAAAGTTGAATTGAATTCCCTAGTTTGGAATGGGTCTAAAAATGAACTAACTTAATTGATCCTACAATTTTATCCCTTACTATCCAGTTAGGAATAAAATAGTACATTCCAGCAAGGCTGTTTAGCGTTTTTGTTTGTTGTATTTCAAATCCCACAACAAATTGCACCCAGATGGGTGGGTCTGATTTCAAATCTTGTAATTCATGGAATTCAATTCAACTTCTGGGGTTTCCAGGCGTCCTATTACAGTCAATGGGGTTTCCAGGCGCCCTATTAAGTTATTCATTGCTGATGTCAATAGGGGTGTCTGGGTAACAGCTGACCAGCACGTTTTTTGGCGTTATTGACCAGTTTAACCATCTGCTGATTGTCCTCAAAATGCTAAAATGCTATATCCTTAGCAGGGCAGTGTTCGTGAGCAGCGGATCAGCAATAAATGTGAAAAGATTTTGTACACAGTTGAATATAAGAATTTGATATCAATTTGAATATAGAGCAATTTGATAAGAAAATGTGACTAAGAATTTAAGGAAAGATATAAATCCTCCTAAATATCAATTATCAATATCCAAGTTGACATAGTGGTATGATAAGTTTGAGGAGCATATAGCTTCTAAACTTTCTCTTGTCCCCCAATCCTTCCAACCAAACATACATTACTCCTCCACGTCCCTCCCCTTCCCTCCAAAGCCCTTCCATGTAACAAGGACTTAGGATATACTTCCTCCGTCCCTTATAACTTTGTCATCTTTCCTTTTTTGGATGTCCCTAAAACTTTGTCACTTTACCTTTTAATCAATGAATTTGTGGTTCCTGTTATTTTTCTCTCTGCACACATCTCAACCACACAGTTTTTATTTTATTATTTCCTGTGCCGGTCAAACTTGGCAAAGTATTGAGGGATGGAGGGAGTAGATGCTAACTAATGTGCTGAACAACTGAATACATCATTAATTATGCAGTGTTTATTTCCTCTAATTTAGCTTTCAGTTTACTGAAAAATCAAACTATGACTTCTGAGTTTGTTATCATTCAAATGAAGCTGATGCTGCACTCATCCACTGATTTGCTCTTAATTTTAATGCTTAAATGCAGTGAGAAATCCGAGACAGTATTAAAGAGCAACTTTCTGACAATACTGTTCCCAGTGGATCGTTTTTCAGAAATAGGTCATTGTTCAAGAACATATTTCAGTGATAGCGGCTTTAAGTGCCTGCAGGTCTTGGATTATATATATGCCTTTTACCAGGTAATTCATCCTAATAATAAAGCAAGCAAAAGAGTCGAATAAAGCATTTTAAGATGAGCTTGCTACTTCCTGTAGAGATGTGTTTAAGATGTTTAATACTCCGCATAAACAGAAATGACTGCATATAGGAGAACCTTCTTTTGTGCTGAAAATAAGTCTCATTTAGTCCTAAAAAAGAACAACAGAAAAATTAGTTAATAATTTTATTTTTAGGAGCAAATGATTCTTATATTCAGGTAGACAATGGTGATCATATCTGAATAAGTGATTTACGAAATTTCATCCATATAAAAAAAGTGTCATGAGTTTAATAAATCCCTGATATGAAAGTGTTGTGTGCTTGGGGTCTTTACGTCATAATGGATGAAAATGGTTGGTTATAATTTCTTTGCAAATCCAAGTGCAACCAATCTTAAGAGGAAAATATAGGCATATATTTTTGGCAACATGTGCTTTATACAATAACAGTTTTGGAATTATGGAAGGTGAAATTCATTGCATAATAATAATGGGTGGTTGTAATCACTTGCTTGAAAGTTGAAATGTAGGAACTTGGAATGCATTCTTTATAAGAGAGATAACTTATGCCCTGATTGATCCAGTATAATGAGTCTTACTTGCCTCGCACAGGAAGATATGTCTGTACAAGATATAGAGCTAGCCATTCACACGGACTCCAGACATGCTGATCAGCTGCGCTCTGTGTATTGCAGCCATGAAACCACAGAGCGTGGTTACGTGGAAATTAAACGGGTCGAGTTTATGGGTAGCCGTAAAAGCTTTGAAATGCTTAAGCGCATTTCTGGGGATAACAGTAGCAACGTGTATGAGTTGGTGATCAGAGCTTGACGCCAATATAGATTAGATTACTGAATCACTCTTCGGTTTCAACATTGGCATGTATGAGCAAGTTCTAAATAAAAGATTCTAATATAATTTCCACATTAGTTGCCATCAATTGCGCCACATAGTGCATGCTATATGTAAGACAGAAGTTGTTGTGGCTAAGGGCGGACCCAGTCTCTGTCCCGTGCCTCAATTTTTGGGCCCAGTACGGGCCAGTTTGGTCCCTCTTTTTTTTTTTTTTTGTAACATTTGAACCATTAGGAAGCATTTTAAAAGGGGTGTGGTATATTTAAAAGCTGAAAAATGGCTGGAAGAGGGTGGGGATAAGGATGGAGAGTAAAAAATGTATTAAATATTTAAATATATAAGAAATCAGGACCAGGACTTGTGGGGCTCGTAACTGGAAATATAGGTCCCGAACTGGGGTCCCATATTTTTTCTCCAAGGACCGGCGGGTCCAGGCCGGGGTCTAGCTAGTGTCCACCCATAAGTGTGACCTCTACATGAACAGTGAAATGTGATGCACCTTACGAACCCATTAGTGTTGTGATTTTTTTTGTATGCTTTAGTATGAAAAAGATGATGGTATGAATTTGTGTTTTGACTAAATAAGATGCTCATAGGCCTTAAAAAGGTTACTAGGAATCTTTGTTGGAAATGTTAACAATTGTATTAGCACGTGAATAGCAACTCTTACGAATTTACGATTATGAAAACTAGTGCTATCCAGACGTGGACTCGGGATTGGTGGACCCGGGACCGGCACGGGTAGCCACCGGGTCCGGTCCAAGCCTCCGTTTTTTTTTTTTGCTTTCCTAACCCCCACCCCAAACCCCTCCTAACCATCAAGCCCAACCCGGGTGGAACCCCAAAAAATGAAAAAAAAAAAATTGGCCCAGACCCGACCCGGCTGGACCGGTTCGCCAATTGTAAGACCCGAGCCCAGACCCGCCCCCCGGGCCTAGGCCCGACCCGGACCCGTGAACCGGGCCGGTCCCGGTCCCACAAAGTTGCGGGCCGGTCCCGGTCCCGCAAAGTAGCTGGCCGGGCCGGTCCACGGGCCGGGTGGCCCGACCCAAATCCACCACTAGTGCTATCAATATACTCAAGATAAGACACAATTACCTGTACCAATTAGTACAAGTAATATGCTAATTCTTCTTGATTTTGTTCCCTAATACTGATCACCCATGGATGGTTGTCGGAAGTCGCTACTCGGTGTGAGATCAACATATAGGTGAATCAGGCCATCAAGGTTGGATCTTATTTAGTTCAATGAAAGCCAAGCCTTATTGATTCCCCTTTGTACACGTTCACAACGGCGAAGCTATACCACATTACACCATAGCACATTTTTCCTTTAAGAGCTTTGTTGACATAGTCGCTTCCTTTATGAAGGGATTGTTTTGCTCTTGAAGTTGCGGACTTGCGGTTGAGCTTAGGCTAGGGTCTGGGTCAACTTGCAAGGTTATGATGTGCTCAGAGCATGGTAGTCGGGCTATGATCAGGCTGGTTGGGGGCTTCCTAAGTTCGAACCCAATTCCCAAGAGATTATTGTGGCCAATGCCGAGATTGAGGTGGCGGCTAGGGAAAGTGGAGCAAGAATGCACGATGAAGTCCATTGGCATTTGGTATAATACTCGTGATGCTCTTTGTTGTTTTAGATACTATGGAAAGGACTATGCTCTTTATTTGTACAATAATGAAGATTCATTTTTTCTTAAAATAATAAACCTACAAATGCTTATTAGTACTACACTACTTAGAAAATATTTATTATTTCCAGTACGTTGACATTAATAACTCAGTAATATTCTCTATGAAATCATCATATCATTTGCACAATATATTTATTCTCATGAATGTTATTTATCGTCATCCGGTGTAGTTTATGGGGTGCTGAGGTAGAATTAAGGATTCTTGACGTAGCGGTTGCTGCCATGCTTGCTTGAAATGCAGAGATGAACACCGGGGTCATGGTGATGGATTGAGGTACCGTGCATAAATGAATTGTTGACTCCCTGCACATTGTTGTTCACGAAGGCTGCCCTCGCAGTTGGGGGCTGCCTTCGGTTATCATCATTATTGCTCCTCTTCTCTCCGGTCTTCAACGACTTTCCTCCGTTCTCATCGCCGTCGGTCCTTTCTTGTTGAAGCCTCAGCGGGATTCCGATGAAGCCGTGTTTCGCGCGCATTGGGCTAAGCTCCATGATGGCACCTTTGTTCTCTCCTGTAGATATATGCCAACCACAAGAGACATGTTAGGTTGCATATGTCCATTTTAAGAATTTTATCAATTCAGGATCTGAAAGATAGACGAATTGTCAATTCGAAACTTGAAAGATGAAATGTATCGATATAGAACCTGAATGATGAAAAACTATCAATTTAGGACCTGAATGATTGAAAACTATCAACCTAGGACCTAAGTTTTCATGAATTTCATTATTATTTTTATTTTAAAATTTTTAAATAATATTTAGTTTTATTGAACTAATAAACTTTTGTGAAGAAAAGTTTTTAAAAAATTAGCAATGGAATTAATAAAAAATCAAATAAATTAAATCCTATGAAATGTTAGGTCCTATATTGATAGTTTTCCATCTTTTGAGTCCTATAAGATACATTTCATCTTTCGGGTCCTGGATTGATAATTTATCTATCTTTCATGTCTTGAATTGATAAAATTCATAAAATTTTAAACCCACTAACTCTTTTTTTTTTGACAAATCTTTCTAACCTATTATAGTATCTATTCTGTTATAGCCAGCATCCTTGATCTGAGTTGAGATTCGAACCTGTGACCTCCTCTTAGAAAGTGTCACAGTGATGCCATCAGACCACAAGGTACTTGACAAACCCACTAACTCTTTACTTTCTCACTTTATCATTTTACCATTTCACTTTTTTTTTTTACTTTTTATGGGCCCAACTTACTTTTCTTACTTCTTGGAGGTTAAAATTATAAAACAACACCTTATCTTTTATTTTCTTAAAATTCACACCAAATTCACATGTATATTACATTATGGGAAGGAAGCACTACAAAATTGTCTTTGTATATATTTTTGTACACCTTTTCATGCACGTTGTTTGCTTACCCAGACAATTTAGCCAAATAAGGTGTGGGTTATCCAAAATTTGTCCAATTTAAGGAGTCGTGCTTAGTGTACACATTTTTGCACATCTTTGACATACTTGTCCCTCTAAGCAGATCGAATTATCCATATGACAATAGACAACTCTGTCCTAGGACTCAACTAGTATTAGATGTGCACAAAATTGGTGTGCACCCATAAATCCATAATTACCCTCTTTGTTATAAATACCTGCAAGTGTTATAATGCTGCTAGTTCCGGATGAATTATTATCAGCATCTGAGGAACGGTGACGATGATTGTGGTCTTTGACTTTGGTCGTCGTCGTCATCTTTCCTGACGATTCACTACTGTCCCCGCTCATACCCTCATGCCCTTGGGCTTTGCCCTCGGAAATTACTCCCTTGGTCCCTCTGCTTTCAGTTATTTCTTCTTTAACCACCCCCAAATCATTCTCCTCCGCCGGGACCCTTCCTCTCCCACCCGACTCCGTTTCCGGCTCAGACGATGGGGGAAGGGGTTGCTTCAGAGGAGGATCGGAAACGGGATTCCTTTCGTCAGAATTAGATTCATCGGTTGTTTTCACGACGGCCTCTTTTCTCGGCGACGGTGGCGGCGATCTTGATGAAAAAGTAACGGTTTTGGCCGGAGGTTTATCACTTTCCGGCAATGGAGGTGGAGTGGCAGATGGGTTAGGTAGTGGTGGCAGGTCGACGGCGTCAGAGGAGGGGACTCCGGTGGCCGTCGGAGGAGGAGGCGGAGGCGGAGGCGGAGGTGCTGGAGTGGTGATTTCTGGTGGCCTTAATGCGGCAGCCACCTGGGGCCGAAATAGCACGGGTCGTGGCGGTGCTGGCGCAGCTGGCGGGCGGTATACGGCGGTACTGAGCCGGCGGGGGAGACGAGGTTGTTGTGGTCTGTCCATTTCAAGGCAACACTTAATTACTAGCAATTAAGTACTAAGTAATGGTAGTACAACAAATCAAAGCCACTCATATTTATTTATAGTCCAAACACAAGAAGCTTTAAAGTCAGAAAATGAAAACAAGGCTTGCTAGTGTTTGCCAAGAAAGGAATAGTATTCCAATATAATAATAATTTCATTGCAATTTAGACCTGAAAAGCAGCAAGGAAAGTATAAGATTCAACTCTTCTGTCATCCTTCCTACAATATGTCTCTACTTTCAAGTAATGTAGCTTGCAATACATGCTAAAAACCTATAGGGTATGTTTGGTTCAAGGTGATATCTCATAGAGGGCGGAATCTGATGCTTGAAATGTGAGAGACATGTGTTTGGTTTGCGGGTTTGATTTTTTTGGGGGAAATATTACATTTCCAAAAGTGGAAAAGGTGATCACATGAATGGGTATGTGAAACCCACTAGAGCCTTAGGTTATGTTAGATTCCTGGTGGCTAATTAATTTTATTCCAAAAAACCCATGCTTCATTAATCTAATACAAGTTCTTAACTTATGATATACCATTTCTCATTTTGTAATTTTAAAAATTATACCGTATTTTTTTCATTATAGTTGTTTGAAATTATTTGAACAATTATACTAAAATTGTAAGCTACTATATTTGTTCACTGATCTTTGTCATTTGTGCAATTAAACATATTTAGTTTAAAATTATTTACTAATGTTCACTAATCATAGTCATTTGTGCAATTAAATATATTTTGCTTAGAATTTATTCAATTAGTTTTTATTTTAATTATTACTAAGATGTTTTATTTTTCTACAGTTTTAATTACTTTAATTATAGGTTGTAATAAGTTTAACGTGTTAAGAGACAAATATTTAAGGACATTCAAGATTTCAAATAATTCACCAAATATGCAATATATGATATCATTCAACCAAACAACTTAATGTGACATTCCCTTAATCGTAACCAAACACAAATGAGATATACATTAATCACATTCCCATCTATCTAACATACCCAGTAATCTAACATTCCCTTGGTAATCTGACATTTCTTGAACCAAACATACCCATAATGTGATGTCTTTCTATTGTACGGATTGAATATACATCTTTCACATGCTTTAAATGGCAACCCTTCTTCTACTTGTACGTCCATCTACACGCCAATTGTCCGGCTTAACGTCCGTCTACACGCCAATTGTATTTTGTCTGCGCACAGACAATTGATTTTCATTTCAAAAAAGAAAACTGTCTGTGATCTCGAAGAAGTGAATTGTCTGTGCACATAGATAAAATACTCTTTAATTCCATGTTATCTAACACTCGGGTACTTGTACATACACTTTACCGAGTAGCTTAACTATTCATTTCACTCCAAATACTGAGTTACTCACTGCATACTGGACGACTATTATGGCATTGTGACTCGTTTCACTGATTACTAGCTTGTGAGTGGTGGATCCGGCGTCTCTGCCTTGGTTAAGCAGACAAGGAGGGTGTCTGGGTGTTTTCATCCATGAGATCAAAAAATGAAGGGTTGAAGATTAAGGGCCCTGAGTTTTGCACGAATCTCGAGGCCTGCTTTTTGATCTGTGTCATTCATTTGAGCAAGGCACTCTGCCTTATGGCCTCTGCCTTATGGCAGAGGATCTCAATCCATGAGTGGTAAAAGGTTATTGCTAACGAAGTTAGGGTTTTGAAAAAATATGGACTTGGTTTTAATAAACAAAAAGGAATTAACATTGACAAAGTCTACATTTTAGTAGTATTAACATCCATAATTCTCTAAAAAAACATCTACAGTTTAACACAAGGTTGGATGTCTCGGACTCTTGGTGAATTTCTCCGTCTTCCTTGAAAATTTTCTAGAATAATGTATAAGCAATATGAAGCAATAAGTTAGAAGTTGAGATTGATTAGATGACGTATCTTTATAAAATGTTTATGATATACTCCGTATATAGTTATATTAATTGCTCTCGGTTACTGTTTTTGTGGAGTATTTTTTAGAAAAGGTACTAGCTTGAGTGTTGATCTTGCTACCGATACTACCATTTTATCTACTTAGCTTTTATTGTGTTTGTTGGACATAACTGCGGCCGCACAGGCCATAATCAATTATTATTATGGGGTGTTTGGATCTCATTCTTAAAATTACTTCTGCTCCTTCAGGGAGGAGAAGCAGAAGTTGGAGTGTTTGAGTGAAAATGTAGAAGTGATTCTGGTGCTCTAATTTATTTCTAGAATCAGTTTTATTAAAAGCTGGGGAAGACCGGCTTCCGAAAACTGATTCTGATTCTGATTCTACTTTAAAAAAGAAGTAGAAACAGAATCAGTTCCAAACACCTCATACTTTGAACTTTGGGCCTACCAAAACCAATGAACAATGTCAAAACGATTATCACGTTTCAAAATTAAATGATTTCACATTTATTTTGTAACACCATTTTTAATTTATTCTGAAATTGTATTGGTGAAGTCTATTTAGAGAGGTGGAATTACTATAAAATATACTTCCTCAGTCCCCCTGACTCATTTTACCGAGAACAATTTTGTTCACCCTCCTTTGAGAGGGTGATGTTCACGCCCACCCTAGTTGCCTGCTATGTGGCAATGCAATACTTTCTAATCTAGCAATTGTTTTATCTTTTCCATTTTTAATCTTTTTTTTTTTTTGCAAAATATATCAAGTTTTTTCATTTTTTACAATCCTTCATATGGTACTAATATTGCATATGAAAAAGATGGGATGAAATACCACATGGCAATCACAGGGGAAAGAGGGTGATATTCACCCTCCTTGAAGGGGTGAACAAAACTACACTTTATTTTACTTGTCTTACTTTTCTTTTTGAGTTGTCCCAAAATAAGTGTCACATTTTTCTTTTTTGAAAAAAAGTATATGGTCCACAACAATTCACTTTATTGTACTCAAATATTAACCACAACTTTTACCTTTTCCATTCAAATGAGGGTAGACAATTCACTTTATTGTATAAAATGGAATGAAGGTAGTAATAGTACTTTTTTGGGTTAAGGGTCAGATAGGGCCTCGAACTCGAAAAAAAATGTCAAATAAGGTCATATTTCGGATGCTCTGTCTGGCCGACGCCATTTGGGGCGGTTCCCGATGGAATTTTTTGATGAAATTTTTTGAGCATCTTCCTCATTAAGTCTAGTTTACCCATACCAAATTTCAGCTAAAAATTCAACCGGGAAGGTAGTCAAATAAGTTTCCGAAATGTACGGCGTTGTTTAACTTCACAGTTATCTTCAAAAACTCATTTGACTACCTTCCCGGTTGAGTTTTTAGCTGAAATTTGGTATGGGTAAACTAGACTTAATGAGGAAGATGCTCAAAAAATTTTATCAAAAAATTCCATCGGGAACCGCCCCAAATGGCGTCGGCCAGACAGAGCATCCGAAATATGACCTTATTTGACATTTTTTTTCGAGTTCGAGGCCCTATCTGACCCTTATCCCTAATAATAATAGTCTTCTTAATAATTGCATTTATATTACTATTATTATATTAAAATAAATGAAATGATTTTAGCAACTTGATGAAAAAATTAGAAAGAAATGGAGTAGCTAACTAACTGCTAATTAGTTCGTACTCCTTTAAAAAAAGAATCTTGTATGAGCCAAATCACCACTTTAAAATTCAGTTTCTTCTGATACATAAGACTCCAATGCCGGCCACTAGGATAATTTACACTTAAAATATGACTCTTTTCTAGGATCCGATGAGTATTTGAAATGTCACATAAACTAATTATATCATAAAATATTGTATTTTCAAAAAAATCATAAATTATGTGCATGAAGTACATACATATACTTGGTATACACTTAAATACAATACACTTCGTATATATGTTTAAACAGTTGAATTCGTAATACCAATTTATTGAAAGTGTGAACCTCTCGTTGAGATGTGTTCACCCTGAAAAATAATATTTATCGGTATTAAAACATTTCAACCGGTTGGATTCCATTTGTCTCACTGTCATGTTTTTCAGATTTTTTTTGTCCACCCTTACATTTCCTATAAATGGAAAACTTTATAAGTCATTTATGTAACTTTTAGGTATATTCTAATTTAATTTAATTTAATTTAATTATAACGGTAATTTATAATGGGCGGGTAAAAAATCAACACATAAACCTTTACTAGCATCACGCACGGGATATAATGTGCAGATATTTTAAATATTGATATACAACGGCATTCATAAATCATATTATTATTATCTTAAATCTTAAAAAAATTATAAACACCAATGATGGTAAGAGTGTATAAGACTATAAGGAATGGAAAAAATGATGGTGTATTAAGAAGCAATAAAAGGTTGTTTAGAATGCATGATAACGTGTACGTTTTCAGTTGATTGGCTTTTCTAACCCTCTTCTCCCGTTTGTATTAATTGCTCTCCGTTAAGTTAAACAGAACTCCCCCAAGCATTTACGTTAATTAACTCTTTAGTGAGTTTAATTCAAATTTAACATTTATTTCGGTTATAAATAAACAATCTTTTACCTCTTTCCAATAAATAGAAATTCCCATTGGAATTAGGCCGCGGGTTTTATACTCTCATCTCGAAACATATACAGTGCTTATAAATTTTTAAAATATGTAAAATATACGCAGGGCCGGTCCTGTCCAGTTTTGGACCTATGGACGATATACTATTTTGGCCTTATTTCCAAGACAAACGGTAAATTATACTTACTTAAAGTAAAAATTACGGAGTATAATAAAACTAGGAGAAATTACTCTAAATACGACTAAAACCGTTTGTATATTCCAAACTACGATTATCATGTTTTTATTCTCTAAATTGAAGTAATTAATGTCATATTTTTGCAGTATCATATTTCACACATGGTAGTATTTTCTAGGCCTGGGACCGGTTCGGTTCCTAGGCAAAATACATGGAACCGTTTGAAATTATAAAAATTTACTAACGGTTCGGTTCTTATAAATTATTTCATAGAACCGATAAGGAACCGAACCGTTCTTAACGGTTCGGT